TAAAAAAGGAAAACTATGTATCCCAGGAAACAAAAAATCTCATGAGTAAAAGAAAAACATTACTGGAACAAGATAAGAGAAACACAATAGATTACAAAGAGGCAAACAAAGCTATCAGAAGGAATATCAAGGATTATAAAAGGAGAGTACAGGAAGATAGAAAAAGCAATTAAACAAAATAAAAACATGAAGTGCTTAAAACCACAGCTTGGAACCATACAAATTAATACTATAAAGAACTAAGAAGGTACAGAGACCAATAATGTAGAAGAAATTATACAGATAACACAAGAATATTATAAAAACCTCTACAATACAAAACAGAAACCAACCCAAGAAATCCTTAAGCAACTACAAATAAAACAAAAAATGTTAATTCCGACTTACAACCAGAGATCAGTAAGAACGAGATAAAAAGAGCACTCAAAGAGATGAAGAACAATAAGTCGCCAGGAAAACACGGTGTGACTGTAGAAATGCTAAAACATGGTGGTAAAACAACTAGAGAAGTTTTGTACATACTTATGAATAAAATTTTAATGACAAAACAAATACCAACAGTTGGAACGAAGCAATAACACTGTTACTATTTAAGAAAGGAGATAAAAAGGATCTAAAGAATTACAGACCCATAACTTTATTAAATGTGATGTACAAACTATTAACCAAAACATTAACAAATAGATTAACAAGTAAATTAGATGGATACCAGGCAAGAGAACAAGCCGGATTTAGAAAGAGCTTCAGTACAAGTGACCACATTTTAACGATGAAGATTTTAATCGAAAAAACTAACGAATATCATATCCCGCTATACATGGCATTTATTGACTTTGAGAAGGCATTTGATAGTGTGGAACACTGGGCAGTACAGAATTCCCTACAAAACAGCAGAATAGACTACCGATATACCGACTTAATTACAAATATATACAACAAGGCAACAACAACTATTAAGCTAATGAAACAAACGGAGCCTATTAAAATAAACCGAGGAGTAAGACAAGGAGATACCATCTCGCCCAAGTTATTTAACCAAGCGCTAGAAGATGTTTTTAAACGACTACACTGGGATGACTTGGGAATTCATATAAACGGGCAAAATTTGAATCATTTACGATATGCTGATGATATTGTATTAATAACAGAAAAGAGTGAAGAATTACAAAGAATGATGGAAGAACTAGATAAAGAATCGACAAAAATTGGACTCAAGATGAATTATCATCATCATCATCTTTGGCTCGACAATCCTCTGTGGATCTTGGCCTGCTCTAAGATTCGTCGCCATTCTGTTCGGTTTTTGGCAACATGTTGCCATCTTCTGATTTTTAATATTCGTAGGTCGGTTTCTACTCCATCTAACCACCTAATTCGCGGTCGGCCTTTGCTTCTTGTTCCTACAGGTGTTCCTGTGGTTAGCTTTTTAGCAATGGTATTTTCTGGCATTCGTATTATGTGTCCAGCCCATCTAAGTCGCTGTGTTTTAATGAACGTTATGACATCTGGCTCATCAAAGAGCTGATACAATTCAAAATTATATCTTCTGCGCCACTGCCCTTGGTCGTTTACAGCTCCAAATATTTTGCGGAGTATTTTACGCTCAAATATTCCCAAAAGTCTTTCATCTTTCTGCGTTAATGTCCATGTTTCTGCTCCATATGTGAGGACCGGCCTCAGCAATGTTTTGTATATAATAATTTTAGTTCTTCTTTGAATGTTTCTTGAGTGGAAATGCTTTTGGAGTCCATAGTATGCTCTATTTGTAAGATTTATTCGTCTTTTGATTTCTTCGCTTGTTTTATTGGTAGCAGTCAATAGCGACCCAAGGTATGTGAAGTTGTCAACACGTTCAAAGGTATGACTTCCAAAGACTGTTTCTCGTTCCTCATTTGCTGTCGGATCCTTTGTAACCAACATGTACTTGGTTTTGTCTTCGTTGATGACTAGACCGACTTGTTTCGCCGCTGTTTCCAATTCTAGGAGATATTGCTCAACATCTCGCTTGCTACGCCCTATTATGTCAATGTCATCAGCATATGCTAAGACTTGTATCGATCTATTGTAAATAGTACCGCCGTCCCTAATTCGTGTATCTCGGACTGCCTTTTCTAAGGCAATATTAAATAGGAGGCAAGCCAGAGCATCTCCTTGTCTGAGTCCATCCTTTATCTCAAAGGATCTAGAACTCTCTCCCTGTATTCTAACAGTGGCTTCTAAGTTAGACATTGTCATTCTCGTTAGTCGGATAAGTTTCTCTGGTATACCAAACTCATGCATTGATTGGTATAGCACTGTTCTCTTGACACTGTCATATGCTGCCTTGAAGTCGACGAATAGGTGATGGGTTTCAATATTGAATTCTAATGTTTTCTCGAGAATCTGTCTTATTGAATGAATCTGGTCAATTGTTGATTTTTCTGGAGTGAATCCAACTTGATATTTACCAACTATGCCCACTGTGTAAACTTGCAACCTTTCGTAGAGAATATTTGCTAGTATTTTGTAAGCAGTTGTTAACAGGGTTATACCTCTATAGTTGTCACACTGGAGCTGGTCACCTTTTTTATGTAACGGGCATATCACGCCTTGAGACCATTCACAAGGCATGGTCTCATTATGCCAAACAAGAAGTAAAAGCTTATGCAGTGTCTGTAGTAGGGCATCGCCACCATTCTTGTAGAGCTCACTGCAAATTTGATCAACTCCTGGTGATTTATTATTTTTAAGCTTTTTAATGGCTTGGGCAACGTTTTCGATGGTAGGTGGTCTTTCGTTTGGGTTGAAAGGATTACAATCATTTCGATTTGCTAGGGTGTTATCTGCTTCTTCGATATGATGGCCATTAAATTTTGCATCGAAAAATTCAACCCATCTGTTTAGGATTGAGGCCGTATCATTTAGGATGTTTCCTTCTACATCCTTACAGCTCCTTATTCTTGGCTTAAACTCTTTGCGCATTTTGTTTAGATGTCTGTAGAACTTTCGAGTTTCATTTTGATTTCTTAGAAATTCTGTGCTTTCCAATTGCTTTTGCTCAAATTGTCTTTTTTTTCTTCTATGTAATCGTTTTTCTTCTCTTCTTAGTGTCCGGTATTCTTTCCTTTGCTCTTCTTGTGCATCCAGCTTGATTTGTCTTTAGGTATGCCCTGTTTTTGTTATCTGTTGCTTCTTGGCACTCCTTGTCAAACCATTCGTTTTCTTTAACTGGTTTGGTTTTCCCCAATATTTTTGTTGCTTTCTCAGTTATTATGTTTTTACATTTTGTCCACAGTTCCTCTACGTTTTCCCCCACCTCCAGGCTCTCCATTTCTTCGTCCATTTGTCTCCTATACTCTCTCGCAACGGTTTCAATGCGCAGATTATCAACATTAATTCTGTCTTGTTTCGTGTGTTTATCTTTCTTTAGGTTTGATATTCTTCCTCTGATTTTTGCCATTACAAGAAAGGGGTCACTGTCAATGTTTGGGCCTCGGTAGCTTCTGACGTCTATGAGATCGGAAGAGTGCCTTGCATCTATCAGGATGTGATCTATCTGGTTAATGGTTTCGTTATCAGGGGATTGTTATCAAGATGAATTATAGTAAAACAAAAACCATGACTAATCAACCAGAAGAACTTATAATTACAGTGGCACAAACAAAAATAGAACAAGTAAAAGAGTATATATATCTAGGCCAAATCACTAAATTAAATAAAGAAAATCAGACCGAAGAAATAAAGAGAAGAATAAGAATGGCCTGGGCATCATTCGGAAAACTGTCTTATATTCTAAAGAATTCAAAATACCCCCAATACTTAAAAACGGGAGTCTTCAATCAATGTATACTCCCTGTCCTCACATATGGCTCTCAGACATGGACGTTTACAAAGGAAAATATGGAAAAAATAGCAAAGACAGAAAGATCCATGGAAAGACAAATGCTGAACATTAAACTATCAGACAAAAAAAGAAACGAATGGATCCGTAGTAAAACAAAAGTGAAAGATAACAACCTAAGTAGCAAAGCTTAAATGGAAGTTCGCCGGACACACCCTAAGGCAGAAAGATGAAAGATGGACTAAAACAATTATACATTGGAGACCATGGAATCACAAACGTAAAAGGGGAAGGCCACAAATGCGATGGTCAGATGACCTGAAGAAACACGCCGGGTCAAAATGGATGCAAATTGCCCAAGATAGAGAGGCATGGAAGAAGGAGGAGGAGGCCTATATCCAAGGATGGATGTTAAGGGCTGTATAGATAGATAGATAGTGGAATCCGTGTGATGGGCGTCTTTTATTAACGCATACGATCCTATAAATCTTCATTTTGTCGACACTTCTCTCGAAAAATGATCTATACTAAAATATTATTTAGCAGTTAATATAAAGTTAAGTTGTATTTAAAGAATTTATTCGTAGATGTCTGTGTCTTTAAAAATTACTAGAATCTACTAAAGATTTATTCCCTACAAAAAATTGTTAATTTACGTAGAAAATCCACTAAAAAAGTAGTTTTCTACTAAATATGGTCACACTTCAGGCGTTGATTGAAATATTATAAGCATATTTCAATTAACGCTGCAGGGGAACGATATGTATTAAAATTCGACATTAGGAGATTTTTGTCAGTTAAAACACCTCGGTTTTTGGTCCACCTTGGTTACTTCATTTTCCCGCTATCACCTATATCTGGACGACATTCCACTATCTGCCACTTAAGGAGGCGCCCGATGGCGGCTAGTACCTCACAAAGGGTGTAAAGAACTGTTGAATTTCTTTGCGACCTACAGTCATATTATAGTATAAGCCAAAGAAGCTAGTAGAAACGTCATGGCAAGGTAAAGTAAGGCAAGAGTCTTGAAGAGCTATTTGTCTCTTAATTATATAAACAAATAGCTCTTTAAAAAATAGTCAGTGTCACCTTTTAATTATACAATATTCTTAATTTCTTTTTTGTCAAACCCATTTGTTATACTTCAATTATGTAGTATCTACAACAAATCTAAACTTACGTGAAACATTACGGTCCTCAGTGAGCTGGTACAATGTAGATCTGTCAGCTCGGTAACCTGTTGGTAACGATATTTCCATTACAGCCATGTTGGACGGCCCATCGGGAGCATGATATGATATACAAGGTGATAAACTCGTAATAGAACATTTATTAATTGTAGACACGGGTGAAACTTCCATGGCAAACTTAAATGCTTCATTTCTGGGAACAATCTTTAAATTAAAAGATTGGATAACCTACCAACATAAATTTATGCTGAAACTAAATATTAACTGCATAAAAATATAAAAAATATAAACAATTTAAATGATCATAGTATTAAATATACTGGTTCTAAGTTAGGAATATTGTATATTGAATATTGTATTAAACACAATTAAATTTAAACATAAATGGGAAACAACTTTTTATTTTCAGACAAAAATTCGTAAGTTAAGGTGGAAGCTATCGTGCTTAAAACTGAATCATCGCACGTCACCCGGTCGATAAAGATGCTCTTGGGACACTGTAACGAGTCCGTTACTTAAAGAACCATTTACCTTTTTGTCACTGGAATCCTTTAATTTAATTATAAATTAAATTCATTTTTGAAATATTCTTAAACCCAAATATTTAAAACTCCAGTAAATTTTATTTTCGAAAGTTGGCATTAAATCCCGCCCTCTGTCTAAGACTCTGAAAGTACATCGTCGTGACAGTCGTAGCACCGTCAAATCGCCACTTGTGGCTGGAATTTCGTCGAGTGAACATCGTTTGTTCAAGGCGGCTGTAGGTGCCATTTTCATGAATTGGGTTTAAGTTTATTTTTTATTTTGTGGAAAAGCTGTTGTGTTGGAAGAAGCCATTTGTTATTTAGTTGTTTTTTTTGTGAAAGTACTTTAATTTTGGACCACCTCAGCCGGTAAGATGAATTTATAAATAAATTATATGAAAAAACATGTCAGATCATCCGCCATTGTTAGTGAAATTCAAATCTATTTTAATCCTCTCTCGATATATATTCTTATCTATCTATCTATCTATCTATCTATCTATCTATCTATCTATCTATTCTATCTTATATATGTCCTATTTCACTTATTTAATTAATACCTAAACGTATTACAAGTATTAGATTTTATCATTATCTCAAACTTTATTTCTTTCCAAAGATGAAAACCAACAATTATCTATTTCAATTCCATACCGTTTAAACCGGCTAATATTTCTTTTTTTTCTATTCTATAATATATATAGACCATGCTTTCCGAAAACCTATCGATTTAATATATCCTATAAAACATTGTCATACCATCCCAAGGTTATTTTTTACAGAAAAACAGTATAGTTTTTATTTCAATTTAAAACAACCTGTTGACCTTTCTTGGTTTTTCTTTACTTTCTTGTATGAACAAAGGACTTGGAGTAACACAACTGTTTTTTTAGCCTACTTACGGATTCCAGTGCAAGTCAGGGAAGAATACTTATTTTTTTTATGGAGAATTTATTAAGACAAGGGGAAGAGGAATTTTAAGTTTTATGGGTTTTATGAAGAAGAATTTAATGGACTTGGTTTAAAGTACCTCCTTTTTTTATATGGAATCCAGGTTTGGAGTAAATTTACCCACCTGCAACTAGTTCTTCACCAGAGGACCTTCCAGGGAAACCTACGGAAACCGGCAGGAAGAACTTAGTTTTATCTTTTTGTTTCTTGTTTAAATATCTTTAATAACATTACGTCCTCTTCAAGGTTTTAACTTTTATATCATTAATAATAATTACATTTACTTTTCCTAAACAAGAGTCAGTACAATTTAATTAAAATTATTTATTGTCTACCAAGGGACGAGATTTTGACTCTCCCTTGAATCTCTCTTCATCAGGTTATCGTGTGCACACATATCCGGAGAGTTTTATTTCATTTCATTTCAAACTTAAACATTTATTAAACGAAAACTAAACTATTATATTAGTGAGTAGTATTTTATATTTATATTATCTTATATTTTATTTTATATTATTTATACATAATTATTGAGTATAACCTTTGTCAAAATTTAACATTAATAGGTACGTTAGGGGGGAAATTGTTTATCATTATATTCTGGGATTTTACTGTAAATACAGATAAGTTAATTGTATATAAGAGGTGATGGATCATATATAAGTGTTTAAAATAGTCTGTACATAAAATTGGTATTTATTAAAGTTGGGTTAAAACAATTCAATATTTCAATTAGTACCTATCTTTCATATTTCAGCAATACAAGATATCTCAAAAGAAAACATTTAACTTCCTGGCGCCCAAACATTCAGTAAAGCAACTTTATCTTTCATCTGTTTATTTCTTGGTAGATTTCTTGTCATTAGTTCTTATATCTTACAGTCTCTGTAGGGCATGCAAATTGGCCGAATCCCTCTTTGAGTGTCGAGTGGTCATTCTCCTGCATAGTCGCTAGCCAGCATTAATTTTATTATATTTTAAATATTCATATTTACCCTTTATTTATTTCTTTTGCATAATTTATTTCTATCTAATCCCTTCCATCTTCTGTTATTTCAGATATTAGTCCATTGGTGTATCAAGGTACATTTTAGAGTTTACCCTATTGCTACACTGCACATTTTTGCTACACATTCTTGTTATATTGGCGACAGCCAATTCATTCTTGTTACAACACTGGGCGAAATACGATTAAATATCAGCCTTGTTCATATATGCAGAGCTCTACAGGAATAGATAACGATCCTCAGCTACTCGTGAGAATAAAATATGAATACTAACTAACATGCAAGTCAAATATGGTGTTTAAATGTTAAAAACCCAACCACTATAAATCAACTCTACTCAAAGTGCGCCGAAAAGATAAACCTCAAATCGCCATATCTAATACTCTCTACCGAAAAAAGAAATGGAGGAAGAACTCTCAAAAATGAATTGGGATATTGTGGGTATCAGTGAAAAAAAAAAAGGAAGAGTGCGAGAGCGTCTTATCACACGCTCATGAGGCCACTTATGGTACTTACAAAGGAGAAGAAGAATAGACAGTAGGAGGCGTTGGTTTTTTTATTTTTAACAAAATTGTCAACAGTGTTAATAAACCAAATCTCAACAAGGGTACTTAAACATTAAACTAAGCGCAATATATATCCTAAAGACCGATCAAGTATACACCCGTACTACACGACATCCAGACAAAGAAGTCCAAATATTCTACGATCAAAATATCCTGTGCAATCAAGGAAAACCCTGGCCACTTTTTACCAATCTACAATCCACTTACCAATACACTTACCACAACACCAGAATTGGCACTAAGGAAGACCTCTCTGAAATAAGATTGGAAAAAAAAACATTCTCTATCAAATAAGCAGCTTTTTTAAAATTCCATTCATCCATCTAAGGAATCTCATTTTCTCGCCATATGCATTCGCTGTTCCTCTTGATTTTAACTACCCAACTACTATTCACCCAGTTCCGTACATCATAGTTGGTCTTATGGCAGTTATAAAGAATTTTCCTTTCTGTCACACAATGTACGTTTGCATTCTTTCATATCGTCCATCCCACCCTAACATCCTTTCAATATTTCCTAATAACACCACATCATCAGTATGCATTAAGCAATAGGTAATGTTACCCTTAAGTTTTTCTGTAATTTGATCCAGTATTAATAAAAATAAATAAGGACTAAACAATGAGCTTTGATGTAATCCTACTTATCCTGAAGTTGTGTAAAACTGGGAGATGAGGACAACTATAGGATAGAAACAGGATGGTTAACATGTTTGTTTATTAAAATTATTAAAGTGAGACAAATGTAAGGCAACTGCAGGAGTAGGTTATTTTTTTTTAACCTATTCTCTATCCTTCCATTGTTGGATATAGGTCTCCCCCAGTTCTCTCCATCTTTCCCTATCTTGAGCTGTTCTCTGCCATGTGGGACCTCCTTGTTTCCTGATGTCATCTTTCCACCTCATCTGTGGTCTGCCTCTTGATCTCTTTGCATTGTATGGACGCCACTTTCCGATGGCATTGTTCCATCGTCCGTCTTGGAGACGTTCATTGTGTCCAGCCCATTTCCATTTCAGTTTTGCTGCTTGTTCTATCGCGTCTACTGTCTTTGTTCTGGTTCTGATCCACTGGTTACGTTTTCTATCTCTAAGTGATACACCCAACATTTGTCTCTCCATCGCTCTTTGTGCCTTCCTTATCCTATCCAAATTGGCCTGTGTAAATGTCCATCTGTGCTCCGTAGGTGAGCACCGGTATGATACAGGAGTTATATACCTTGCTTCGTAAGTATAGAGGGATTGTTTGATTTTTTAGAACGTAAGAAAATTTGCCGAACGCTACCCATCCCATTCTTACTCGTCTCGATATTTCGGCTGTTTGATTTTCTCTATTAGCTCTGATTGCTTGTCCTAGATAGATATACTCATTTACCTGTTCTATTTTTTCTGTTTTTATTTTTATTGCCTCTTGGTCTTCCGTGTTTGTCATTACTTTTGTTTTGTTGAAGTTAATTTTTAGGCCTTTTTGCAGTGATTTTCATGAATTAGCATTAGCATTTCATGAATTCAGCATTAATTCCAGTTCTTGTCGTTCCGAGGAGATCAGGAGTATATCATCCGCATATCTAAGGTGATTTAGGTATTTCCCGTTAATACATATTCCTCTGTTTTCCCAGTCTGTTGATTTTATTATGTCTTCGAGGGTCAAGGTAAACAGTTTAGGTGAAATTATATCGCCTTGTCGGACTCCTCGTTTAACTTTTATATTAACCGTTATTAATTTGTCGTCCAGAATTACGGTCATGGTTGCGTTTTGGTAAATATCATGTATCAATTGTCGGTTAGTAGGTTATTAGTATCTGTTTTTTAAAAAAGAACACCTTTGACCTTTGAGCTACCTAGCTACTTAGTGACACTATGAAAATATGGAAAAAAGTAATTTATAGATGCATGCATTAAGAAATCAAAATAGCCATCAGTTTGTATTTATGCAAGGTAGATTAACAAGACATTAAGACAGTTGATCAGTATAAGGCAGTTGATGGATAAATATAGAAATAAAGAAATAAATATATATGATGTTCATTGATCCTAAAAAAGCATAAGAATTCCTTGAGAAGTTCTGTGGTGGGCGTTTATTAGGAAATTAGTACTCAGTGAGTATGTGATTTAGAGATATACGAATGAAGGTATAGTAAGCAGTGTTAAAAAGTTGTGGGAAAATCTGATAGGTTTCATGTGTAAGTAGGATTAGCTCAGAGCTCAACGCTTAGTTCTTAAAAGTTTTATTTAAAATGAGAAATGAGAAAAGGCAGCAAATATTTGATTTCACGCAAACAAATCCTATGTATCTCTTGATACGTATTTCGACCTAATAGGTCTCGTCAGAAGAGCTATTCATAGGGGTTCTCAACGTGAAAAATCAATATTTTCTGCCTTTTAAACTGTGTTTCGAAACTATTTTACGGTGGTTTTATTTAAAAATTATTTATAAAAGGTATATTATTAAAAGACCCTACCGGGCTACATAACAGACCGTCTTTGGACTAACAAGTCTACCATCAATGTATTTCTCAGGTGTGCATGTGCATGCGTAAAGCCACTAAATATTCGGCAAAAAACCTTTAAAATAATATAAAATTTGTTATTTGTTACATCTTTGTTAAAAAATTAATGTGATGTTAAAGTTGCCATACAGTTACCCTGTATGGCAACGTAAGGCTCCCAATTGGGGGTTGTAGACCCTGCGGCCCAGGTCCTGACGAAATACCTGTAGACATAATACGGTTATTAGAAGAACAGCAAATTTGAATATTGGTCGACTTCATTATCTTCATAAATCATTCACAGAGATTGGCTGATATCAACATTCATAACACTACCAAACAAACCAAATGCAAAAGAATGCCAAGATCACCGGATACTAAGTTTAATGGGTCATACGCTCAAAATATTTTTAAAAATTATACACCGGAGAATACACAACAAACTTGTGCAGGACATAAGTGACACACAATTTGGATTTAGAAATGCACTATGAACGAGGGAAGCCATGTTCGCTGTGAATATACTTGTGCAAAGGTGCATGGATGTTAATCAGCCATAATATATGTGTGTCTTGGATTACAACAAAGCCTTCGATAAGGTCAGATATAACCGTCTTATCGAATAACTTAAAAAGAAAAACTTAGATATGAGAGGCATCAGGATCATTAGCGCTATCTATTATAATTAGATCGCTGTGGTAAAAGAGAACAACGTCTTTTCAAATGAAATACAGATTGAGAGGGGCGTCAGGCAGGGCTGTGTCCTGTCTCCTACTTTGTTTAATTTGTATTCAGAGGAAATATTCCAGGAAGCACTAGAAGAACTAACTATGGGAATAAAAGTAAATGGCCGACCAATCAATAATATACGGTTTGCCGACGACACTATTTTATAAGCGCAATGTCTTGAGGATTTACAACAAATGGTTGACAGAGTGGTAGAAGTCAGTGAAGAAAACGGACTGTCCCTTAACACAAAGAAGACACAATTTATGGTAATTACAAAAGCCCAACAGCGCCAAGAAAGCATAACGATACATGGAGAACAAATTAAAAAAGTTGAAAAATATAAATATCTAGGTACAATAATTAATGAAAATAATGAGTACACAGAAGAGATTAAGGCAAGAATAGGATAGGCAATTCTTTCAACAAACTGAAAAAAGTACTCTGCAGCAGGGACATTTCAATTTCTTTAAAGATAATACTTCTGAGACGCTACGTGTTTTCCGTATTATTTTATGGGTTGGAGGCTTGGACTTTAAAGAAATATGTTTCGGACAAACTGGAAGCCTTCGAGTTATGGGCCTACAGAAGGATATTAAGAATAAGTTGGGTAGATAGAGTCACGAATGTCGAGGTGTTAAGAAGAATGGGTAAATATAAAGGGGTCTTAAATACAGTTAAAGTCAGAAAACTGCAATATCTGGGACATGTTATGAGGGGCGAGCCTTATAACTTGTTGCAATTAATAATGCAAGGAAGAATACAGGGTAGAAGGAGTCGCGGAAGAAGACACATCTCCTGGTTGAATAATTTGAGAGCTTGGTTTAACTGCACTTCTACTGACCTCTTTAGAGCAGCGGCGTCGAAAGTGCGAATTGCCATGATGGTAACCTGCTTAGAGGAGATGGCACGTGAAGAAGAAAGAAGAACACCCTGCGACAATGTCTATGTATGGGCTCTAGATAACAACTCTAGTATCTGTTAAAAACTTTACCACCACACCAACTTTCTAACAAAGATGTAACAAATAACAATTTTTGGATCATTTTAAGGTTTTTAGCCAAATATTTAGTGGCTTGATATATCTTCACCAGATAAATACACTGGTGATGTACTTGTTAGTCCAAAAACGTTCTGGGATAAAGCAAGAAAGTTTCTTTTAATTATATACTTTTTATAAAGAATTTTTAAATGAAATGTTTGTCATTTATGTTACATGGCCAACAACAGGAATTTCCATTTTGCTTGTGGAGCTTAGTTCTTATCTATTCTTATTAGTGTTGGATCCAAGAATAGGGAAACTACGAAGTAACATTCCTTGGTGCTTAATGTATGCTACTTAATGATGTGGAGTTCGAAATATGGTGTAGAGAGAGAAACAGAGGGAGGGAGAGAAGGATAAGCCGTCAGCGACTTGTTAAGTAATAAATGTATAAAAATACCAATTTATATACAAATGTATAAGTTACAATAAAGGTACGTATATAAATTTATTGAGATGGAAGAACTCTAAAAACTTTCTGTTTTTTTAAGAAGATGATAAAAGAATGCAACTATGATTACTTATAATTCGCAAAGTATATTTAACACAAAAACTATTACATTCATGTCTAAAAAATAAGCACTTACTTGAATTAAAACGCAACCAGTTCCTGTTATTTTAACGGAGATTGTTCCATTCTTCTCCCTCATTGAAATTCTCCTTGTTTTGAGCATATCGCTGTTAGTGATGGTAAGGTTGTGATTACCCTCAGGTTTTTCCATGTATATAACTAAGTTAAGATTTTTGGACCCAACTAAACGTAAATATCTAGAAAGGGCCTCTAGCGCAACAACAGTGTCCTAAAAATAGGAAAAAATAATTATTATGTGTACGTAATCAAATTAGGACTAAATTGAGCAATCAGGCTAGACTAATCAATCTGTTTAGGACTTAATCAGCTTTATATAACGAGGATATCTACGGCTGATTGGAAAATTCACGGGTGCTTCGCTAATATAAACAACAAATTTATAAGTGGATAACGTACGCATCCTGCTTATGAATACATACAAAATTGAAGTCGATATGTAATCTTAGTCTTTGTTTAAAATATTAAATATAAACTTATTATATTGTCATTAAAGGGCAAAATTGGAACATCACATGGATGAATCCTATATATAATTTTAATAATAAAACTCTTTTTTACAACGTTTTAAATATTACTGTTCATAACAAAAGAGTAAATAATATGTTAATTATTATATACTTTCAAGCCTCAAAGATAATCCCTACTTTTGGACTTCCAAATAGTTGTATTATTAAAGAAATTATTAATTATGTATACTGTATAATTGTACATGGTACACAGAATATGAAGACAAGAGAAAATGCCAAAAAATCATGTAAAGTTATGATCTGCTCAATCACGTTCAATCCATAAAAAGAGCGATAAACTACTCTGTCAAAACTATAAGAGAATCTCCTTGCTATGTTGTGGATATAAAATATTTCACAGTATACTTATCTATAGACAACCACTTTGCAGAGAAAATCAGGCAGGATTTAGGTAAGGAAGATCAACCATTGACCAACTATTCACAGTTAGACACGTCTTAAGGAAAGCCTGAGTACATGTTATAAATAGAAACTTATATAAAATATTAAGTGAATTTGAATTGCCCATAAAACTAGTTAGGCTCATCAAATCACATACGAACAAAATGTCTCAGATACAACATAAGATGGCAGACCCAGTTCAAATAACACAAGGAATAAAACAGGATGATGGGCTGGCACCAACATTGTTTAATTTAGTACTGGAATATGCAGTAAGCAGAACATCAGAAGATAGAAACCACACACTTATTAATTAAATAAACTCTAATTGGCAGCATATAAAGATAACATAAATGTTATGAGCAGAACTAAAACAATATGTGATAATACGTATACTGAACTTAAACCACATGGTAAATAAATATGTATGTTAATAAACCTAAAAAAGACAGACTAAAATCCTAGTACAAAATCGATCGGAGGGAGCAACACGACCCTACCTGATAGTTGACAACTTAGGAAACGTCTTTTTCTTCTTCTTCTGCTTTCTCTTTATGATCAATTCTGCTTGCTCATTGGTGGATTAATACCTCTATGGAAGGTTGTCACTTCATCTTTTTCGCGATCGTCCAATACTTCTTCTGCCGATTGCTGACTTATCTCTTGCTATTTTGACGACACGGGTCTCCTCCGTTCTGATTATGTAGTTATTTGATTCTTTTTATCTATTTTGTGTCCATGAATTTATACACTGTACGTTACATTTTCTTCTAATGTCGTCACTTCTTTTGTAACATTTTTTTTATAATTGAAATATGAAATAATTTTTAATCCCTTTACTCCAGTTGCAGATACGCCGATGGTCGTATTCGCAAATGGGTTGTTAAATTTTATTGGAAACTACCTCAAAATATGGAATAACCGACTTATTAAACACGTTTGTTTAATCCTTAGTTAATCCTTTTCCGGTTTTTAAGCGGGTTATTTGATAGATTTGTTAATTATCGCCGAAGGCACGTTATTATAGTAATTTTTTTGAAGAGAACGTAATTCAGAAAATTTTAATTTCATCACGTTTCTAGCTGGAAGGGTACCGTTAGTTTCGATGTTCGTTAGAACCTTTTAACTTCTTAGAAATAGATACTGTCCCATCATTTTTAGGTGGGAGATGCCCTCACCTTTTTTTGGGTAGTTTGGCAAATTTTGGCAGAAGGAAGACCACTTCTGGTGGGACAGTCTTTGCGTAAGTCTGTCATTTTTTTAGTGTGTATACACTTATATAGTTTGAGTTTCTAAATCTAATACTATATTAGATTAAATATAATAATAAAGTACCTTTTAATTTAAATAACTTTAGTGCTTGATACAAGTATACTATATAGCTTCAGTGCACTGTAGCAGTCATCGTGAATTACTGTAAGTTATCATAATTATAGTATCTTTAATTATCTGGGCGAATAATATGGTATGGTATGATATTATCTTCAATTATCTGGACAAATCTAAGTTCATCCATTTCTACACCTGTAGTTAAGATTAACTACCAATTTAACTATTGAATTCAAGGAACATTTAATAATTACATATTAACTTTTAATCAGTTTTTAAGATCTTCTAAATTACTAACATTTAATTCTCAGTTAATCATTAAATAACAGTGCGAACAGATAATCAACTTAACCAACTGCGGTTTGGTTAAATTTTTATTTCTATAATCTTTTTGTACCCTTTGAATTTAACTTTAATTAACTTTGTGTTATTTGTTATGTATTTTTTTATTTACTATAAAGTTATCAGTTAACAGTTATCAGAACTGTTAGCAGCCTAACAGTTCTTCGTTGCTTTTTACCATAGTTCATGTCTCTGACGCATATGTCAGGACAGGTTTAATAAGAGTTTCATATATTACTATCTTGGTTTTTCTGCTAATTATGTGTGATGTTAAGAACTGCTTTAGTCCAAAGTAAGCTCTATTCGCCAGCTATATTCTTCTCTTAATTTCTACGCTTACTAGGTTGCTGTTATTTAGTTGTTTTCCAAGATATATAAACTTCAAGACCCCTTTGAATGTGTGTGCTTCTGTCACCAGATCTTGTGGTGCTGCTTTTTGTGTGTTGTTCGTGACCTTCATGTATTTTGTTTTGGATACATTAACCTGCAGTCCCATTGTCTTCGCGGCTTTTTCTAATGTTTCAAAAGCCTGTATCAGGTCTCTTTTTGTCCGTGTTACTATATGATGGTGTAATGTTCTACATAAGGCATTAGTAACATTTTTCTGTAAGCCCACAGTTAGAGACCATCTATGGTTGCCGACCTTTAACGTCCACGTCTCAGATGCATATCTGTTAAAAAAAAAAAAACGTATTTAACAGCTTTAGTTTACTTTGCTGTAATATTACTGTCTCTATCCATCTTCTCTTTTTCATATTTTAGGCTAGACACTTAAATGTATAGCACTTGCTCATAAGACCTTTGTACCATACCCTGGTTTTTCTGCAGGGCCAACTCAAGGCAAATAGCTTACTCATTGGTAGTTTTAGGATGTCTTCTGGTTACTCAGCTGACCAGTCATTTCCCGCGTCTTACCACTTAGAATATTGCATTGCCATAGGTAGTGTATGGCAGTTCATCAGATGGTTCATTTACTTTACATATTTTATATTGGTGTTTTCTTAAACAATAATGTCATCATTTCAGTGACCGTTTTAATATCTGCTTTACTGAGGTTCATCAAATTTGTCGAAACTTTTTTTATGAATCTTCTTGATTATTTTCTTAGTCTGAATTTCACCTTAAGTAAATCTGCTCATTTATTTCCATGCACCCCTCCATAACGTGGCACCCATATTAAAGACTCTGTATTCACTTTTGCCAGGTTTTGACGGAGATCTTTGCAGTTCCCAGTTTTGTATTGTGAGGGGATCCTTGTGAACAGCCGCTTTTTTATCGATATGAATGTTTATTCTCTTTGCTTTGAGGTCTCTATCCATGATTTTATTAATATAGGCCATCAAAGCAAAAACGTCAGCCTGGAACACAGTTGTACATTAACATAGGCTGTGAGATTTGCTAAAACCACATATTTGCCCAAAGACTCCTGATCCAATACAATTGTAAGTTTTAGATCCACCAGTAGATCATATTAAATCCCGATTAATGTTTGCGACTTTTTTTTCGCTAGATGGTATTATTGTGTTCATCTTCTCACTGAAGATTAGTTCAGGCGTCATCATATTTAAGTTCATCTGAAATATGAATTTCTTAAGTATACTTCCAGTGCTGTTTGTGTGACTATTCAATACATAATTCTGCCTCCAAATAATGTTTGCTTAGGTCTCAGGACGATCATAAAGGCTACTGCTGAAATATATAATTCCGACGAGAAGAGACCTATGATAACTTTTAAAGATGCCATTCCTGTACAAGATTGCAGAAGTACTGAACATTTAAGTATTGAACTGTTGGTCTTATCACTAATGTGTATAACGAACAGAAAACCTTTGATCTCAGTTTCCAGGTTTTACCCGCTTCTCTATATACAAGTTAGTTTTATAGCTGCAGTACGTGATGTTTTAATTGGTATTTTATTTGTCCGTCACAGCCCCCTTTCTTTGTAATCAACGATTCGAGGTAGTTAAACCTATAATCCAGTTCGAAATTAGCAATATTTCTGATTTTTGACGGAATGCGGTACATTATTATCAATGACTTTGGTCTTTTTTTATTATAATATTTTTTATCAGGCCAATGCCCGCCCAGTGAAGGATTCTGCGAAAATGCAGAGGAGACATCGAAATATATTTTTTGATATTATAACGCAATTGTTCACCAACATTATAAAAACATCAAATAGGTCATATCAAATGTCTCCTTAAAATGGAATGTAGGCTATAGAAGAAAAAGTTCAAATGACCCTGCTGGAATCTTCAATTTAGAATCAGAAAAGAAGTCTTCAAAAGCTGTACTATAACTGTCATACTAACACTTAGGCGAATAGATACATTGATCGTCTGTTGTCCATCTTTACTGTGTGAAACAAACGGTTCATAAGATGGCTTAAATTCAAAAATTACATATGGTATAATATAGTATAAGAGTTGTTAGGCCATGCCCTCCAAAGAGGTACGCTTTTACCACTAAAAAAAAAACAGAAGTTGTCTCTCGTGTCAAAAGATATAATAACCCTAACGAAAAAAAAAAAATATATTTCACTTTATCACACTAAGTAGATTATATAAAAATCTGTTATTACGATTTCTCATTAAAATTCCTTAAAATATTCTAATTAAACAGTTAGCATTATGATAATTTATTTAATTAGAATGTATTAATGCAAACGTAAGATGTGGCTAAAGGTATATGAATGAAATATCTCAATCTAATCGATTGACATATTGTTCCCGTATATTCTATTCCTCAAGTTGTACATAGAAGCAAAGCAACATTGTACGTAGTAAAAACTATTGATGCAGCAAATGCCAATTATGGTAAAGTTTCGGTGCTCTCATTTTACAATGACACGTTTATTAACGTCAGTTAAACAAATCGTGGCAATAAAACGGTAAGTTTATCTGAGTAGCAGATAACACTAACATTTATCGCGGAATGAATGCCGAGCTTCTAATTGTTTTAGCGGTGGGATCCAGTGAATCAAGGAGAAAGTAGGTCGTTCGCGATACTTTATCATAAATGACGTTTACCTTACATATTTTGGTTAGTGTTAAGTTACTTGTCTTACCTGGGTTGTAACAAAACTCCCTTTTGGTCCTAATTTCGTCGACAACCATCGTACTGCTGCTAAGGCGTGAGCCCAGTGTTCAGAAGAATTTTGATATAAAAGAGATATAAGTGCATAACTAGTGGTCTCAATATCAGTTGCAGTGGATGTATTAGAACCTAAATGATATGTTTAGTAGTTTGTTTTAATATTACATTTAAATTTATAAACAAAATAAAAAAACAATTTGCGTAGGGTAAACTATATAGTGATTGGCAACTATCAACTATGGGCACCTTGTAGGTTTTTTTTACATTATTTTAAGATTACATTAAAATATACTGACTACTGATATTATTTTATGACAGTGGCAGCCCTGTCCAAATAGTATCTAACTTCATTTTATTGCACAACCTAACCTTAAACAATTAGCTACAGATCTATTAGATGATGTGCTGCGTGTCAACATTTTTTAGCATAAATACTTAATCGTAAAGGCCGCCAGTATTGGAAATAAATATATTTTAGAAGGTATGTCTTGTTACATAGAATTTATTATGTTTAGTTATTCTATTATGTTTAAAATGAGTAAATTTGAGTCAATAATTGCATGAATGTGCTTCCTTTTTATTAAATTATCTATGAAAATTACTGGGTGTATTTTTTTACATTAGACAGTTAATTGCAACGTGGCCATTAACTGGAAAAATACATTTTATTGATAATATTGTGTGTTTAGTAATTGGCACATAGGTACATAGAGATTTTTTTGTAGATGCAAAAAGTAAAAGAGGGTGCACAATAAGAAAAAAATATGCTACAGATGTTTTGCTTGGGTTGAAGGCCATCGAAAATGGGATGTCACAAAGAAAAGCTTCCGAGACGTTTAAAGTAACACGTCAAACTCTTCAGTTTAGAAAAAGTGAGAGTTTACTAATTAGATTACTTTGGGACCAAGTAGCATTTTGACCAGTGAGAAGGAAGCTATTTTAGAGGAATGGATATTGACAAATCACAAAACAGGCTTTCCTGTTAGGAAAGTGTATATTTAAGCTTCTGCTAAGAAATTTTTAGATTCAAGTGCACGTAAAAATTCATTTAAGGACAATTTTCTAGGAGAAGGCTGGTATCGATGTTTTCTTAAGCTTAATGAAATTTTAACTCATTAAACACCAGAAGCAACTTCTTCGGCCAGTTCAGTTGATTCAGAAGAAGATGTTCGTAAATGGTTTTTTTTCTCGAGAAATATTTAAAAAGTAAAAATCTAGATTACATTCTGCAAGACCCCACTAAAATTTTTAATGGGGATGGAACATGTTTTTATCTGTGCTCAAAAATTTTTAAAGTTATTGCGCCTCGTGAAGCATGGAATGTTTATGAGGTAGATTCTGGTCAGGCCAAAATGAATATCACCGTGATGTTTACCTTTTCTGCATCCGGTCAAGTAACTTAGTCAATGCTTATTTATCCCTACAGATGATTACTCAGTTCTATCGTTAATACAGTGCCTTCTTCATGGGGAATCCGACATAGTGATAACGGTTGGATGAAAGTTGAGTTATTTTACGATTACATTGGTAATGTTTTGTATCCATATTTAAAAAAATTGGCACTACATTTTCAATATTCCTATTTGTAGAAGGCCATTCTACACATCAAACACTAAGCTGAGTCAACTGTGCACCGAACTACAGATAATTTTAATATCGCTGAGACTGAAACCTCAGAAGCCCTGAAGGAGACATCAGAGGTGATATCGAAAGTTCGGCGCAATGATAAACGAAGTTCAACCCAGAAGACTATTTTTTTATTCCATATACAAAGCTCTAAACCATATTTAGCGATGTTTCTTGTTACTTTTGTATATTATAATTTTGGTGGTTGGAGGTGGTGTCTTTAAGTTTTTCATTCCTAACTGTATTTTTCTATGAAGATATAAGAATGATTCTATAATTTTCCTGGGGTATTAAAGTAAACCCTTCTAATTACAGCACCATCTATCCACAAAAAATGTCTTTTATAAACGTTACTTATTTTTATATAAGGAATTTAAATATGTAATAAAAAATGGGGGTTCCCAGTTAAAAGTTTAAGGTTGCTCCCTCGCTGGTCTAGAGCGTGGCGCTAAAGGGTCGTGCATGGTGCCATTCCATAGATTTTTCAAACACTATTGAACACGTGTTTTTCAGTTTTTTAATTCGATGTTAATTTTGCGAAATATTTGACCGTTCCACTTCTTTTAACACACCCGGTATTAAGATATATACATATATACATGCGGTATATATCGTAAAAAAGTTTCCTGTATACGCTAAAAAAGGGATAGCTATTTGATAAATCAGTTAGATAGTAAGATGATGACATTATATTTATTAATTTACCTTTATTACTCCACCATAACATATTTTGATGTTGTTCAGAAACGGCTAAGAGCCTTCTTAATAATTTATTTGCTTCTCCATACCACTTCATTTTAAATATAGCGTAGCAATTAAGAGCTAAACTATATTTATCTGGATTATTCTGACTACGAATGCAATATTTAGCATTCGTCATAACTTTTTCGGGAACATCAATTCTCGCCTCTAAAAGACTCACTATAACGTAGGAAGTTAAACTTGCCGTGCTATTTTCCTTGCTTGTTCCACCCTATAAAAAAGATTTTTAAACAAATAATGTGTTAAAGAACGCTAAGACTAAGAAAAATATGCAAAAACGTGGTATTGTCTTACGAGTTACATGTTACATGTTATGATTAGGCCAATTAGTTTAGATATTTACTCGACACAATTGTATAGACGGGTTTGACAGTTGAAATGTGTAGTATAAGATAGCGCAAAAATACTATCATTTAGGAATTTTTCAGTCAAACCGTAAACCGAAAAGTGAAACGGTAGACCGAAAAGAGTTATGAATGACAACAAAACTTTAGATATAATGCAAAGTTTTGTTGAAAATACACATACATCCTCACGCATGGTTGCACAAGTACATGATGTAGGTCGTTCTTTAGTCTTACGTGTATTAAGTAAGAATAAATATAAACCATACAAAATTAACTTATGGCAAGAATTAAGTAAATATGACTTCAATCGAAGATTATAGTTTACTGAGCTAGTGATGGCCAAAATTGAAAATGAAAAAAATTTCTTTAAGAGAATATGTTCTTCCGATGAAGCAACTTTTACACTGTGTGGAAGTGTAAATCGACACGATTTAAGGTGATGGAGTGACGTAAATCCACACTGAATGTGTGAAAATGATGAAATTTTACTTAGAAATGAAATTGTACCTAAACTGAATAACTTGTTTGATACCAATATTAGTCAGATATGATTTCAGCAAGATGGAGCTTCAGCTCATTTTGGTGTAAATGTTCGGCGTTATTTAGATGAGGTATTTCCCGAACGATGGATTGATAGACGAGGTAGAATTAAATGGCCTCCACGTTCACCTGATTTCAATCCTAGAGATTATTTTTATTGGAGATACTTGAAAAATTCAGTTTACAAAACTAAACCAGACAAGCATGGAGAAATGTGGTAGACGCATCCTACCATCACACATGCAGCACATTTTAAACACTTGATAAAGTAACCATTATGTTAAAAAATGTCGTAAACTATCATTTGTTACGTTTTAATGTAGTTGAAAATAGTCAGTATAAAAAAAAACATTTATTGAGACAATTAGGTGTTGCCAGACTTCTGTTTTATGTATTTAAGACCCTCCAGACTACATAAAATCATAAGTGTTAAATATGGTTGAACTCATAATAAATAGGAAATTTCAATAATGATTAAATGAATATACAGGGTGATGAATTTGAAAAACCAAAGTTACTAAAAATATAAGAGAAACGGCAAATCTGGCAACATTGTAAATATCAAATACCAAAATTTACAAATAATTACAGACCAATCTCACTAATCACTTCACTTTGCAATATATTGGAAAAGGCTATAAAATATCAACTAGTATTATACTTAGAAAAATATAAGTTAATATTTCAAACAAACAATATGGTTTTAGGGAGGGAGTATCCGCGGAAAATGCAATGTCGTACCTATCTAATAAAATTTACAACTTAGTTGACAGCAGTACACCAACAGCTTGTGTATTCCTAGACCTGGCAAAGGCGTTCGATACGGTTAGTCACTTACAACTATTAGATACTTTAGCAGACATTGGTATAAGAGGAAACACATTTAACTTAATGGAAAGCTACTTAAAAAATCGATATCAAAGAGTGCGACTAGAAGGGAAATTGAGTAGTGCCAAAAGCATAAATTTTGGTATACCACAAGGGACTGTACTATTACCCATATTATTTATACTGTACATAAACAATATTCTTACTTACCGGACTGAAGGTGACATATTTTTGCAGATGATACAGCAATTTTGTACTCTGCAGACACGTGGATAGAACTAAAGCGAAAAATGGAACATGACTTAGGAAGAATAATTGATATATTTAACCACAAACTTCTTACAATAAATATGGATAAGACAGTTTATGTTTCATTTACAAGCTATAAGAGAGGTCTACCAGATTACAAATTTATAAAAATAAAAAATCTGAGTATTAATGCAGTGAGTAACACAAAATACCTTGGTGTTCAAATCGACTCGTATCTACGATGGGATATACACATAAACCAAACGTGTAAAACATTGAGATGTCTATTGTACAAAATGCGATATTTACGTAACATACTGGATATCCATCATCTGAAGGTTATTTACTATTCTTTGGTAGAATCGCGTCTACGTTATGGAATCCTTAGTTGGGGTGGAGTTGCAAATACATACCTACACCAATTAGACATTATTCAGAGAAAAATATTAAAAATTATTTACAATAGACCTTCGAGATACCCTACTATAATAATAATATTAATAATAATACTTTATTTCCTTTTTGACAAATACAATTTGTATAGGATCAGTCACAGTTTAGAAAACAAAATTTCTAAATATAAATGTAAATCTAAAATTACGCTAAACCTAAGGTTACAAACACAAATAGAAAATGTAAAATTACTAGCATATACTTAAAATAATGTCAACTACTAAAATATTCATCAACAGAATAAAACGTATTCTGCAATAAAAAATCTTTTAAAGTTAATTTAAATATTTTCATATTCTTACATTTTTTTATTGGCTCTGGTAACTTATTATATATTCTTTGTAATACCTGGTAACCTATTATTGCAGGTGAGTAAAAATGCATATTTCCTTTAGAAAAAGGCACATGCAATTTTTGATTCTGCCTTGTATTTTTATTGTGAATTTGACCATTAGTTTTAAATTTATCAAGATTTAAATGAATAAAAACAAAGACTTCAAAAATATATGAGCAGGGCACAGTTAAAAGTTTATATCTAGTAAAATAACTCTTACAGCTAGTTATTCGATAAATACCAGCAATACAACGCACTATTCTTTTTTAAGATAGAAAGACTTCACTGAATTTACAAGACGTACCCCAAAATACTATGCCATACCTCAAACGAGACTCCATCTGAGCATAATACAGCATAATTAGCTGTTTTTCACTTAGCGTATCTTTGAGGTTTCGAAGTAGGTAGCATGCTGAGTTTATTTTGGAAATAATATCATCATATTGCCTTTTCCAATTGAGACACTCATTAACATAAAAACCCAAAAACTTTAGGCATTGAATTTTTTCAATTTGTGTAGAATATATTGATAGTTCGATATCTAACAGATGTTTCTGTCTATTGTGGAAGTGAATAGCATGCGTTTTATCCGCATTAAGGTGTACCGTTTCAAATGTTAGATACAAGACAATTATATATTCTTACAATAATCACCAATTTATACAAAAATAAACACTTACTCACACCATTAGGGCATACCTATCATACGAGAAATAGAGCACAGTCTTTTGTTAAATTAAAGATTGCAAAGAAAACAGTTGGTAAACGAAATTTTGAGTATTTACAAGGAAGAATCTACAATTCGCTCCCCGAAATTTACAAAACATACCTAATCACTATAAACTCGCAAAAAATGATTAAGACATTGTTTACTAGGTATTTGAAACAAAATCATAGAGAACTGTTCAGCCACCTTTTCGAGACCAATTAGGTTATAACTAACGTCAAATCAAGAATAGATTACGAAATCTTAAAATTTATATATGCATCAGTTATTATCTTGGTTGATTGTATGCATGGATTGTCTCTCTCTTGTAAAAATTTTTTTGTTATTTTTTTTGTTTTATCTTAATATAGGTAATAATTATAACTAATAAAGTAGTAAAACTCGCCTTGCTGTAGGATCAATATAAATAAGCAATTTAAAAAATGGCCCATGCTCAACTTAATTGTTTTAATGGGCACTACTGTTTATTTACCTTGAACCAATTACAGAACTACAAAGTAAAAGTAACATTTTTTAAAATTTTATTGTCATTTAATTATTTTATTGTAATATTATTAATTGTATATTTCATGGAAATAAACGTTATTATTATTATTATATTATTATTATTATCAAGTATGGAATCTTCACATACCAAAATAGGTATACCTCAAATTTTGTACAACTATGACTAGCAATTTAGGAAATAATTTGCCGTTTCCAGACTTTTGGGTCACTCTGTATAATACTGTGTATGTATATTATTTGTTTATGTTTTTACTTGCCTTAAGTAGTTTATTTAGAATCATCTTGCTTTTATTTGTTTATGTTAATATACATATACCCAAGGCGAAAGTAAGAAACCAGCAAGTTCTAGATTAAACATAGACATTCTCCTTTCTTTCTGATGGCCCCAATTGTTATCTAGAGGTCATTATAAATACAGAAAGCAACAGGGGCCAAATTATTTTTATGGTAATTAGACTTATTGGGCACGTTTAAGGAATAAAAGTCACTCCATACAAAGACTCAACAAATAACATGAAAGATTCTCCTTGACTCCTAACAAATACCTAATTCGTTCTGTGAAGTTGGAAAAAGGAAAAGTAGAAAATATTGGGAAAAAGGCACTAAGGATTTGATAATATGATATATATGATATAATTCAGATCAGATTAATTTGGTGAAATATTTAAAGATTTTAAACTCACCATATCTTGAAAAACGTGCAACATCGTATTAAAACATCCATTTTCTAGTTGATTATTTAATATCCATGTAACAGCTTTATTTATAACGTGTTGATCTATATAAATGTACTCTCTAGCTTGCGATAAAATTTTTACAACAAATGTTGTTAAAAACATGGAACCCATTGGGTCGTAATACCCAAACGCAGAGAAAGAACCGTCCTCATGTACATAATTTAAAATTCTCTGATAACCTAAAAAACCAAAATAATTGTAAAAACAATTTCTTCTAGTTTGTCTGTAAAAAAACCAAAATAATAACATTTAGTTTAATCCTAAGAATATTTTTATTAATTATTGTCAGTTTATAAGATAGAAATGTTTTAAGTAAAGGTTTTAGAGATAAAGATTCTAGAAATAGAATCCACCTTTTGCAAAAAATCCTGCTCTTACGTTGCCCAAGGCAGCCCTAGATCTACAATAATATTGTTTAATGCATTTATTATACAATAAGATTGAATGGCGCTTTCTGTTTAAACGTTTAATTATATTGCACAATAATACAAACTACGCAATGTTTTCGATGCAATGAAGAAATATGGCACAATAAAAATTAAGCTGGTTCAAACTTTCGTTTAATCATTGCGTAATTCAATATTAGCACTAGACGATTAATTATATTGCGTAAGACGTAGCTAGCTCAACGCAGCGTAACTACTGCATGCAACTGACCAGACATACAATAAAGGTATGTTATTTAATTGACGAGAGAGGGTGAGATTCAAATTTTCGGAGCCTATATAATAACATATTGGCTAAGAGATGGAAAACTCCTACAGAAAACCAGAAAAGTTAGAAGGCTTCGAGATGGCTTTCTAACTATCGCACTTATCTGGCTACAGATTGGTTACAAATAGTCAGAAGCATCAAATTAAAAGGTTAGACATACTAAAATTATGAGAAACCGGGCAGGTAAAAGATATACGAGCTGGATTAAAGATATCTACTTGGAATTATAGAAGATTAGGGCCAACAAAAAGCTAGATGATAGGCTGTAGAGGAGGTAAACTCAGCAAAGCTGTAAGAGCTTTGAGTTGAGCTGTGTGTTTTGTCCTGAGATGTTAACTTATGTCAACCGCTGGAGATGTAAGCTGGGCCTTAGCTGAAACTACTCTAGCCCAGAGCCACCACACAACAGATGCATACGCCAGCATAGGCTTTATCATGAATTGATACATCGAATATAAAATTTTCGGCTGCAGATCCATTTGCACTGAAATCTCTTCTGCACACCCAGAAAGTTGCAGCGTCCTCCTTCATCTAGGTGTCGAGACGTTGCTTCCATAAAAGTTTAGAATTTAGGATCACTTGTAACTGATTTGGAAACCGATAAAGTTTTACCATAGAAAGTAAGCTCTCTGGTAGGTACGAGTACGATGGCCCTTCTCCGAGTGAACAGAAACACAGCGATCTTCTCAGGATTAGCTCCGAATGCCTGCTCCCATCACCGTTCCTCAACATATCAAAATTATAAGAAACCTGGTAGGTAAAGGGTAAATGAGCTAAATAAACAGATGGATTAAAGATAGCTACATGTAATTATAGAAGGTTAGGGCTAACTGAAGGGATAACTAAAAAGTCGTAAGCTAAGTTATGCGAGGTTACGCATAAAAGAAGAGGTAAGTCCTATGTGTTGTCTGGAAACTTAGGGAAAGAAGACCCATATAGAAAACCCTAGGCCCTCCAGATTGAAGGTTGGATGAGAGGTTAAAGATACCACTCCGGAAAAATAAAACTGTTAAGACAGCCGTAGGCTTTAATAATTAGACAGATTAATGGAAACTAGACATCTCGAGTTACTACAATTATCAAAAACAAAAATTAATTATAAATCCTTACTTGGAACATCAACACTGGGAAGAGTAGGAGATCTACAGGAAGAGGACTAAAAGAACAGCCGCATAAGACTAATATCGACGTAGCAGCTATACAAGAAACGAGATGGTCAGGAAATAAGTTATTCAGCTCAAGCACAATATTATATTCTACACTGAGGGACAAAGAACAATATATGGTGGAATAAAAATTCTTATCAAAAGCAACTGAAATCAGTGGTTATTGGATTGTCTAAGGTGGATCAGAGTACTTTTCACTTTTTATGTTAAAGTTCTTCAACTTTACCCTCGTTAAGGTCTACGACCCTACAAAGGAGGTAGATCAAGAACTAAAAGATGCCTTCCGATGCCTTAAAATACCAATTCATTATGATAAAATAGGCGATTTTAATGCGAAAGTGGGACGGGAGGAGATCTACGAAAAGATGATAGGAAGGTATAGTCTGCATACTGAGAGCAATTACAATGGATTAAAGGTAATTGACTTCATGAAGAGTAAGGAGAGGATAGTACGAACGCTTATGATGCATAGGAAATACATTAAAAAGATGACGTGATATTCACCACACGAGATAACAAAAACTAGATAAAGCATACTATTATTTGCACAAAACACGCAACATATACAATACATAATGTATAGACATTCAGATCACTTGAAAGTAATTCAGACTATTACATTATAATGAAAAAAATTAAGATTATATATAAGAAAAAAAAAACAATTTAAATATAAGGTCCTAAAAAATGAAAAAATAAAAAAAATAAAAAAATAGAGAACATTTGGAGGAAAATTTGTGATTTAAAAGAAGGAAAAGAAGTCAGAGGCTTCAATATGCAAAAAAAGATGAAAGGGAATGGTTTCAAACAAATGTAATTTTCTGCAAAGATAGACGACAGAATTTCATTAAAATGAAACAGTTAACCTTGAGAGATGGGTAGAGTATTTCCGCGATCTACTTAATATTACGGGAGACGTAGAGGCCACAGTGGTTACATAAATAAATCAACAATAAAAAATATTTAGAGTCTATCTTTCTATGCTTTCACTCCAATTTTTAGAAAATTCGAGTGAAAGCATAAAAGGGAAATAGGATGATATGTACAAAAACAGAAGAATATATAGAATATATATGAATACGTTATGTAAAGTGTATAAAAGTATTCAGTAAGCGGTTAACACAACTATTTGGGATTACCAATGTGGTTTCCGAACAAACCAGTTTACCACTAACGAAATATTCACACTGAAACAGATACTAGGTAAGTGTTACAAGCATCATGTAGATTTACACTGACTACAAAAAGCATATAATTGTGTAAATAGAGGATACCTGTATATAAAACTTGATGAATTTGACGATCCGCAGAAATACGCACGACCGGTAAAAATCTTGAATCTTGAAAATACTTGAAAATGCTTGAATCTGTAAGTATCTGCATCTCAAATTATGGGGAAAGCTGTAAGCCGGTCAAGAAATGACAATGGATTTAGGTGGGGAGGTATATTATTTACTTGTTATTCAACTGAGTATTTAAGGAAATCATCAGAATGTTACCAGATAACTCATCTGGAGCTCTGTTTAATGGAATATTTTAAAATTTAGGTTATGCAGATAATATAACGAAACGTGTAAGATAATAACCATAGTTGGAAGAGTGGTATTCAGATTTAGAAGAGCCATGCCGCGAAGGCAGAACTAAGAGTTTCCAGAGTAAAAACCATGTTTGTGCTCATGTCAAGGTACCAAGAGAAAGCATAAGATAAAGAATTCACCACAAACAATTCTTAGACGGAGATTAAAGCCAGGATTACAGTGGCTAACAGGAGCTATTTCAATCCATTGCAACTCCAGAGTTGTCAGTAGAAACACAAAGAAGATCTTGTATCTATTCATGATCCATCCAGTAGTGATATGTAGAAACGAGCTATAGACTTTGTCCAGCAAGAATAAGAAAGCGCTCACAAGGTAGGAGAGAAAAATATACTAGGGTAGGAGACAAACAAATAATGATTGATGGATTCGACCGTTACTTGATGGAAATTCATTTTATGTAACAATAAAACACTGAAAACTTTGTTTTCAAACTTCCACAAAATTTTGTGGAAGTTTGAAAACAAAGTTTTCAGTGTTTTATTGTTACAAACAAATAATGAGCAGATGAGATGGAATGGTAAAATATAGAGAGCGGGAAAGGAAAGAACCATTAAGAAAGCATTTCTGAGTTTCACTGGAGAAGGAAGGAGTAAGAGATACTTGAAAATGCTTGAATCTGTAAGTATATACATCTCAAATTATGGGGAAAGCTGTAAGCAGGTCAAGAAATGACAATGAATTTAGGTGGGGAGGTATATTATTTACTTCTTATTCAACTGAGTATTTAAAGAAATCATCAGAATGTTACCAGATAACTCATCTGGAGCTCTGTTTAATAGAATATTTTAAAATTTAGGTTATGCAGATAATATAACGAAACGTGTAAGATAATTACCATAGTTGGAAGAGTGGTATTCAGATTTAGAAGAGCCATGCCGCGAAGGCAGAACTAAGAGTTTCCAGAATAAAAACCATGTTTGTGCTCATGTCAAGGTACCAAGAGAAAGCATAAGATAAAAAATTCACCACAAACAATTCTTAGACAGAGATTAAAGCCAGGATTACAGTGGCTAATAGGAGCTATTTCAATCCATTGCAACTCCAGAGTTGTCAGTAGAAATACAAAGAAGATCTTGTATTTATTCATGATCCATCCAGTAGTGATATGTAGAAACGAGCTATAGACTTTGTCCAGCAAGAATTAGAAAGCGTTCACAAGGTAGGAGAGAAAAATATACTAGGGTAGGAGACAAACAAATAATGAGCAGATGAGATGGAATGGTAAAATATAGAGAGCGGGAAAGAAAAGAACCATTAAGAAAGCATTTCTGAGTTTCACCGGAGAAGGAAGGAGTAAGAGAAGACCTCGAATAAAAATGGATGAGAGACGTGCAGAATTACTAAAGTGGATTAGAAGTGAGCCAACAACGATGAAAAATATAAAAATGTCTTTAGGCAGACAGAGGCTCTTTAAGGGGCTTAGCGCAACGAAGTAAAATAAGGTAATGTGATTATAAGCGGTGGATAGAACTTACACGGCAAATAACATGAATTTCGATGGGATACTATTCCCATAAAAAATATTCCTAACTACAAAATGTTTGCAATTTGATCATCTAAAGATAAACAATAATCTTATCTAGAAACATTACAGGATTTTTTAATAGTACCGGATCTTATTGGTTAATAAAATTTTAAAGAATAAAAATTTACCTAGATTATAGTTTTGCAGTATTTACCTATTTTTAAATTCCTTAGAATCTTCTGCTTCATGGCTTTTTTCAACGTATTTGTGGCATTCAAATATTGCAATACGTACAAATTTGGTGCCATGGTAGCCATGATTTGTTCTCCACATCCCGTAGGCATATCCAGAAGGTCATCCAAGTTCTAAACAAAGTTTATTTTAAGTTATTATTATAGAAATAATATTATGTAACTTACATCTATTGTTTTTCCTAGAATATCTCCATTCAAACTAATATGAGATTTGTAAGTTCCAGGAACAATGGTCGAAGGTACAATATGATACCAAGATACATTATTATTTATTGAAGATGTTTCTGAAATGACAATTTTTTTTAAATTTCTATTTACTTAACTTATTTCAAAAATAACAAAAATTTAAATATTATTCATTCTTTTATAAAGTGTAAAAAATTAATTTTCTGGTATGGGTAGAAACTTCTTGGGAAGTTACTAGGAATTTCTCAGAAGCAGTCCTACTAGGAAAGTGAAGCAACCTCTACGCCCAATAGGTTCTAAGACCTTTATGTCTAGAAAAGCTAGCACTTCATTGGAGCTTTTTATGAAGCACTATGGACAAAGAACAAGCTAAAGTAAACTATAAGGAAGCTATAAGTAATAGAGACGTCAAAATGTTTCTTAATATTAAAAAAAATTAAAATACCAAAATACCGGATTATATAGTAAATCACACAGGTTACGAAAAAAAAACTATAAACATTATAACCTGCATTATATAAGGAGTGAGAACAAAATTAGAAAAAAACCGTGAGTTCCAAATCATTAAAGAGTAAAAAGAGAAGTGGCCGTAAGAATATAAAAAAAAAAATACCAAAATTAAATAACCCGTTGAAAACATGCATGCAACTATATTTGCTACGCTACTAGCTCGATTAACAATCTATAGGCTATAAACAATCTATAGTGCACAGACAGAATCCAAATATATTTGTGTTTTTAAGGAATCGCCTCTTTCGTTTGAGCAATATTAGTGTTTGATAAATTTCAAACCGATAAACCAACGAATTTCGGAAAAAACCTATGTTTAAAAATTTACAAATATAAAAGATTTATTATTACCAGAGCTGCACAATAGCGCTGATTTTGTTTTTCTCATGCGAAATCCTTCCGCTTCCACTAAAATCGATTTTACTTCGGAATCTCTAAAACAAAAAACGTATAATACGAAATTTTAACAAATTTTCTTTAATACCTTTTAAACAAAACTGTTTCAGGTCCACAATGTAACGGAAATTGTTCGTCCGTTTCTGCTAGGACACTTACATTGACTAATCCCAGCATAGTGGCTGTTACCTTTATTTTATAAGAAAAAGTATCATTTGGGGATACACATGAAGATGAACTTAACTTAGTACTCTTGTCGTCACGATCAAGGCCTTTAGAAAGTAAGATATTTATTCGAATCTAAAACAAGGATTTATCATAATTAAATTTTTTGAACATTTTTTTCATAACCTTTTTAGAATTTCGGATTAATTTTTAAGAAAAAAAATTCTATGACATAAATAAACAAACCATATAAATCGCACTTTTGTAACTGCTAGTGAGTGACCAAATTGGAATAATTTCGTTAAAACAAGACCATACCTCTCTTCAGTCTTCCTCTGGTCAGTTCTATTTCATCATGCATATGTCTTTTGCAACTTTCTGTGATCTAGTTAAAGATCTCATTAAAGATCTTCCTCGTGTTCCTTCATATTGTTTATGTCTGACCTTATGACATATCCAAAATAAGTTGATTCTTGTAGTTGAATTTTGTTAAACTCTATTACAGATATTCAGTTCTTTTAGAATAGAATTATTTGTTATTCGGTTGGTCCATGGAATTTGCAAAATTCTTCTCAAGCAGAACATTTTAATGACGTCTGTTATGTGTCTATTATACTTTTTTTTTCCTTGGCTTGGACAATTGTCATTCAGCCAGTCTCCATCAATATTCGTTTTTTGTTAAAGAATTTAAATATGTCAATTAGTGAAACATGATTAATATAATAATAATAACAGCTAAGCTAATGTACATACTATGTTAATAAATACTATATCATACCTTTATTATAATTTAGTTATTGAGAGACGCCATCAGAAATTCATACCCTAGTAACACACGACGTCCTATGGACGTCCAATATACGTCCAGTTTTGGTCCGGACGTCCCTGGACGTAAAATGGACGTACTATGGACGTACGAAGTGGGACGTACTTTGGGTGGACCAAATATGGACGTTCTCTGGACGTCCGTACTCGGACGTTGCCTGGACGTCCATACTCGGACGTTCCCTGGACGTCCGAACTGGGACGTTTTCTGGACATCCGACATTTACCAATTATGGGATCAAATAGCAAATATTTCAATAAAATAAAAAATTATTTACGTTAATAAAATAATTAAAAGCGAAAAGGTTAAATCACAATTAATTAAAAATTGTATAGTTTAATATATCCAAAACATGTTTTTGTTTTTAGGTAAAGTGTAAAATCTTTTATTTCTAGATAATTCGTTACAATTGTTTTATTATTCTAGTTATTAAGATAATAATATATATGTTTGCTAATTCTAATAAGTAAAAATATGATTTTTATCGACAAGATGAATCTTGATAATCTTTTCCACAGAATAATTGTCTCTTTTGACTTTTCAAAGACAAAATAATGAAAAATAATGATGTGATATGACGTGTGATGATTGATGAAATTAATTGTCAATATTGTCATTGTCATGTCATACCTATTTAATTTAAACAAATGGCACAGTTTAATCATAATATTATTATTATTATTGCTTTAATAAAAGAAATAAAATAACTCTATTTAAGCAGTGTACAGTGCAGTGGTCTTTTTTAAAATAGTGCATGGTTAAAAGTTTGGTACCATTTTTGTTAGGTTATTTCCGAATTTGATTTTTATTTTATTACAAAAAGGTAAGTAATTTTTCTTAAAATTGTTTATGTTTAAAAGTAAACGATTTGTTTCTAAGCGTCATCAACAGAGGAAGGTTACGAAAAACGTAGAGAATATTGTTGAAAATATTAATAACCCCCATATTCCGTCTTCTTCAAACCTCTTCGGAATCACTAACTGATAATTTTGACGAGAGTTTCAGTTCAAATATGTAGTTCTGGTTACAATACTTCCGATTTAAACTTTTTATTAACATGTTAAGTGCCTAAAATAATCCAAATTACCACGTGGCCGACCATTCCAATGATACTTTACAAAGCTTTTTTTTTTTCAATGAAACTGAAGAAGGGTTTAAATATGGTTGTAACGAGAATTCTGGAGAACCTTATCGAGATGTTTTTAATTGTTCTAATAATTTATTCAACTGGACTTTGTCCTTTAATACTAGGTGATTTATTAAAAAATTATAAAGAAGTTCCCGATCTTTCTCATTTAAGTTCAGATGCTAGAACCCTTCTTGCTTCACCCAGAGAACAATTACTCTGATCCATATGATTCAAATTTCAAACATATTTTTATCTTCACAATAAAACAATGTTATAGAAATGTGTGTAAATTTTTATGGAATCTCATTAAAAAAGAGTTTTAGTAGTCAGTTTTATCGTAGTTTGTATAATTTGTTGATATATCCTAAAATTGTAAATTTAATAGACATTTACCATGGTTATGAGAAACCAAAATTTGCAAATGAATGTTTGTTTGATTTTTTAACAGAGCCTGTTTTTTTTTATTAGATAGTTTAAACTAAAATAATTAAGCATGGATGATCAAGTTTGTGGGGTAGTTAGATTACTGTTACATGTTGATTTATATTTTAGGATAATGAGCTTTTCAAAATTGGTGAGGAAACCATAAACGAATTTGTTAGGAGAAGCCATAAGAAGCTGGTCTGCAATAAAATTCAAGGAAAATATAGTTGGCTAGGGAAAAAGCAATATAAAACTTTTGAAGACACACATATAGCTCTGATTTTAAAAGGTTTGTAACTGTTAAACATAAATCAATCTAAGGAACATTTAACAACTTACACTATCACTTAAGTGACCATATACAGCCGATGAAGCATATCATTAACTGTGTCCGTTGATTGAATAATCCAAATCAATCAACGCTGTGTCTTATATGTAATTTAGATGGCAAATTTTACCATTTCACAAATGTTCAGGTCTGGCTACACTTAGCTATATGAGATGAAGGTTTGTTGTTGGCTGTATATATTTTATTTATACACTGTTATTTTTGGTTTTTAAGTATCAAAGTGTAATTACTGCTCATTTGGTCATTAGAAATAAATACCAATGGTTTTGTTGGTATTCTTCTAGTTCAGGTGAGATCCATTAAAACTGCAGCACTTAAATAGAGGCAAATAAAATTTAATTTGCATGTTGCATTAGCAAATATGATTAATTTTGTAATGATTAAATTGTGTGGTTGGTGCACAGAAAGGAACAGTCAATTTTTGAGACTGTTTTATTTATTAAAAATAGGTACCTAAAACAGTATCTACTGCTGAAATAAAACAAAGTTCCATATTAAGTATTGATCTTTTTCATACTTATGATTTCAACTTTAAAACTCAACAATTAACTTGTCTGCTTTCAATTGTAAGGTAAATCAGAATGGGAATGGATAAGGGAAGTTGAATGGTTCTGTTTTTAGTGAGCCACAGTTTCAACTATTTTGCCAATTTTTTTAGCAGTATTCACAATCCTTCTTTCTCCTGTGTAGACAAGTATAGTCAAAGATCCCATATCAGTCACAGCCATATAGACTCTTTAACTATTAAAATTTGTGACATTCTAGCATGCTTACAGTGTCTTAATACCAATAAAGGTCTTGGTCCAGATGGAATATCGTAACTTATTTTGATTCAGCCATTAACTTATTGATTCCTAATTCACAAGGAATCTACGTTCCTGTAGTTGGCTGTATACCATGTATTAAAAATTTAATTAAAAATCCTTTGTAATAGGTATATATTTAAGGATCAATATAAGGTTGAATGTTCGAATAAATGAACTTTGATGGTACACAAGGCAAATATCGAACACAGTACTTAATTAAATCTTGCCCAAGTACTTTCGATCACAAGATCATCCTCAGGGCATTTCGTCAATTGTGGCCTATCCAGCAATAATGGAATGTCATACATGTAAACTGGGACATAACAAATACACTAAAGACAAACAAACACTTTAAAATTTAAATTGGAGAAGCTACATTTTTATATTATAGAAGCCGGAGACAGAATGGCTCCCAGCCTGGCGGAGGCGGAATATTTCACGCAGGCACAAGGAATCTACGTTCCTGTAGTTGGCTGTATACCATGTATTAAAAATTTAATTAAAAATCCTTTGTAATAGGTATATATTTAAGGCCCAAACGGGCTAAGTTAAAAAGACAAAACGTTTTCGGAAACCATGTTCCATCATCAGTGTCTAGTCTGTCTGTGATGATGTCTGTCATCAGTAGACACTGATGATGGAACATGGTTTTCGAAAACGTTTTATCTTTTTAACTTAGCCCGTTTGGGCCTTAAATATATACCTATTACAAAGGATTTTTAATTAGATTCCTAATTATCGTTCCATTATAATTCTTTCTACTATTCCTAAAATTTTCGAGGCTTTACTGACTGATTTTTTGACAATAAATCTGAAGAATCAGCTTCATATTGGTCAGCATGGTTTACTTACTGTCTAGTTGTTCAACTTCTACTAATTTACACTTATTATGTTATAATTGCATTAAAAAACATTTTTTATGTCGATTAGATTTATACTGACTTGTCGCATCTACTGTTCTTGCAAATTGTGTAGACCATATTCTTATTCGGGTATGATCAATTTCTTGAATCTGGATTCTCTTATCAAAAGTGTTACCTTTTAATCTTTATTTTTAAACTTGTTCATAAAATAACCAATCTCCTGAATTGCTTCAGCTAGTTTGTTTTAATATTCCTCCCATTCACTGTGTCAGTATTTATATTTCCATGTTCCTTACTGCAGAACTAATTATGATTCACACATAGATATGGTCTGAAACTTTTGTATCAATAGGTTTAGGTACTATTTGAAGCACTAAAATGCTAAATGAAACTTTTTATAAATGTGTACCTATTTATTCATGTATGTTTTATTTTTATCTATAATTTTGTGTATATTTCTATAATGTTCCATTTTTGTATAATTTTGACAGTGAATTTGTTCCATTTGTTATGAATAAATAAATATATGTAATAATAAATGTTAGTTCCTTTAAACATTTATGTTTTATTACTAAATATTATTTTATATTTCTATAATGTTGCATTTTTGTATAATTTGGACAGGGATTGGTCCCATTTGTTAATAATAAATAAATGTAACAATAAATGTAAGTTCCTTTAAACATTTACGTTTTATTTCCCAAAATACATTCTTAATATGCACAGGATGACACCACTTTTAGTATTTTATACAATGGCGTTGACGTCTAATTTATATCCTCAGCACTAAAATAGACGTCCGAGAACATCACAAAAGTCCGTCAATTAAGTCCTCCAGACGTATTATGGACGTCCGATTAAGGTCCAATTAACGTCCCGGTACGTCCAACTAACGTCCGCTCGGGACGTAAAATGGACGTCCATAGGACGTTCGGCGCAGCGACATTCGGACCAATATAGGACGTTAAACGGACGTAAATAGGACCAAAGCGGACGTCCGACGGACGTCCTTAAAGTCCGTGAGGGACGTACTATGGACGTCCATTGGACGTACGTGTGCTATTAGGGTAGTGTATACATCTTACAAATAAAAAAAATAAAAATAAAGATATCTACCTATTATGTTAATAACTATAACTATGGTAATACACATTTTTTTTTCACTATGTTAGGATATAAAACCGATTCAACATCTCGGAGGTTTAGATCCTCTTAGTGATTGTTTTAGTATATTTTTATTTATTTTTTTTCTTTTTTTGTTCTTATTTTTTTAATGTATTTTTATAATCATCTTTTTTCTTTTTTTTAATTAATTTTTTTTTCTTTTTAAATCTATTTTTTTAAGTATTTTTTTTATTCTTTTTATTTTATTTTTTTTTGAATTTTTTTTTTATAATTTTTTTTTTATTTTTTTTCATGAATTTTTTCTAAACATCGGTTACAAGTGTCTATTATACAGTATCTATTACTTTAGTGACGTCTCGGAATATTATTGAAGTAAAAGCTTACTATCAACCAAAAAAAATATTAAAGTAACAATCTTACCGGTATTGCATGGTTTCTGTAGTTTGATACGTAAACGTAAAGGTAAAACGATTCTTCCCTCTTTACTGTATAAGGTGTTAATACTTCTACGAAGATGCTCTGAAACGTAACTATTTCTAATTCATCACTAATTCCAACCCCTTCAGTTTCAGACACACATAATATCTTTGTTACATAAGATGTTATGGAGTGTGGTAGATGTCTTTTTAATTGTACTGTGTTACTGAAATAAAAAAATTATATGCTAATTCAAATATTCTGCAATTTAATTCTCAATTATAGCAAATTATCGTTTAAAGATAAACCAAATAGTCCTCTAAAAGTGGTTGTAAGAAAACTGAATCAAACTTGCCAAGCTAAGGACATAAGACAAGATCTAGAAAATAAGGGATTTAAAATAAATATATATATATATATATATATATATATATATATATATATACACAAATTACTATAAGGAAAGGACAAATCACCACTGTCACTTTTTGCACTTAACTTTAGTAGGAAAGTACTTAAAGAGGGAAATACAAAAAAGTGTATGAAATTACCAAAATTTTACACATAAAAAAAGATTATAAGCTTTCAAAAAACTGAATTTAATTTCACAATTTAAACGATGTCAAAAGTACCAATATACACAAAATTATTGCAGAAGAGAATCGGGATGTATAAAATGCATCGGAAAATATTTAATAAAAGATTGTGAAAAGTCCCAAAATAAAAAACCTAAATGTGTACACTGTGATGGTGCTAACCCAGTTAATTATAGAGGTTGCACGATTGCTACAGCTGTTCAAAAATTACGGAACAAACAGAAACCTACAACCACACTACAAAACAAGACAGCAGAGATGGAGAATCCGGTACAAAACCATCCAAGACAGGTTAACCAAATCCCTATGCCCCAATACCCTCTAAAAAGACAAAACAAGTATTGGGGAATGACTCCAAGTCGATATCAAACATGCTTCACATACTTATAGAACGCATGAACAAGCAAGGAGAATTCAATAAAAAATCCTAGAAATATTTAATAGCATAGAAACTAGTAAAAGATGAAATGGTGGAAGAGTTAAGAATATTACATTGCAACGCAAGTTTCTTGCAACATCAGCAGCCAAACATGTTTAATATCAGAGACAAACTTCATACTGCAGTCATCAGAGTCGAAAGTGCCACCAAACCTCTAAAAATTATACGGACAAACTGAATTTTGCAGAGAAGATTAATTTTGGGACCTCAAACAAGATACAAAAAATTTTACCACATTTACCTCCGGGCTTCCCCCTAAAACCCCCGACAGGGAGGTAAAAACGAGAAAAAGTTGATTTACCAAGAATCTGTACACCGTAGGAAGAAATGTCTCAAATAAAAAATGTAGCTGAGATAATTTTATATAAAATGATACTAAGCATTTTTTGTGAAGATGAACCGTTCTCTTAAAAACAACGCTTGAAGCGACCGTCGATTTTGCATATCAGTTACGCGCGCGAAATCAATGTACAATACAATTTGTATCAGCTCGACGGTAAAAATTCGATATCTTTTGATTCAAGTGACCTATCGACAACAATAAGATGCGTTTTAAATAAAAAGATTTTGGCTTTTTTATGGCAGATTTTACACAGGTGTTAAATAAATAAACGTGGCGCGATTTTTGCCTTTTTTTACGATTTTCGCAAGATCAATACAATCTACCCCTTTCATTGACTGGCCACTATGTAGTTTTGGATTTTGAAAACACATTGGATTTAATCTTTCACACAACAAACAATCTGAAACATTTAAAACTTTTTTTTCAATAACAGTAGTAAGTTTTTCTAAAGAACAATCATCATCATCATCAATCAGCCAATCGCGTCCACTGCTGGACATAGGCCTCCCTCAGTTCTTTCCAGTGTTCTCTATACTGGGCCGCTTGTAGCCAGTTTCCCGCTACACGTTTAATGCCATCAGTCCATCTAGTCGGTGGTCGTCCTCGGCTTCTTTTATAATTTCTAGGCCTCCATTCCATAATACGTCTTGTCCACCGTCCATCTTGTGTTCTGGCTAAGTGCCCTGCCCAGTTCCACTTAAGCGTCGTGGTTCTTTCGATGACGTCTTGAACTCCTGATCTTCGCCTGATTTGTTGGTTTGTTATGTGGTCTCGAAGGCTCACGTTCAGCATTGCACGTTCCATGGCTCGTTGTGTAACTCTAAGTTTATTCGCAGATTTTTGCGTGAGTGTTAAAGTCTCTGCTCCATAAGTTTGTACAGGTAAAACACATTGGTTATAAACCTTTCGCTTGAGACACATGGGAATTGAACTTTTTAGAATATGGCTTAATTTGCCAAATGCTGCCCATGTTAGACCTATTCGCCTCTGTATTTCATGTGTTTGATTGTCTCTGCTTATTTTGATTTCGTGTCCCAGATATTTGTAAGTGTCTGTTTGTTGTATGGTATTATTGTCAATAGTTATATTTCCACTCATTACGAGATTTGTTATAATTTTAGTTTTCTCAAAGTTTATCTTTAATCCTGCTCTTTCAGACAGACTTTTAAGCGAATGCATCATAGAAACTGTATCATGTAAGTTATCTGCGATTAATACAACATCATCTGCAAACCTTAGGTGATTTAATCTTTCTCCATCTATATTGATGCCCATATCTTGCCATTGAGTACCCTTAAATATTGACTCTAGAGCTGCCGTGAACAATTTTGGTGAAATATTGTCTCCTTGTCTAACTCCTCGACTTAAGCTGAATTTTTCTGTGTCTTCATGCAGTCGTATACTTGATGTAGCGTTCTGATAGATGTTTTTGATTAGTGTCGTGTACCTGTAATCTATTCGGCTTTGATTTAGGGCTTCCAGTATTGTTTCAAACTCTACAGAATCAAAAGCCTTCTCGTAATCGACAAATGCAAGAACCAGTGGTATGTTGTACTCGATGCACTTTTCTATTAAGATCTTTATGGTATGCAAATGGTCATTTGTGCCATATCCTGCCCTGAAGCCTGCCTGTTCTTTGGGCTGATAGAAATCAAGTTTAGGTGTTAGCCTCTTTGTTAAGATTTTCATAAAGAGTTTGTACATATGTGTCAAGAGGCTGATGGGTCTATAATTTTCTAATTTAGTAATATCGCCTTTTTTGTGTAACAAGACTATTACTGCATTGTTCCAGTCTTTTGGAATCGTACCCGCATGTAAGCATTTAGTAAACAGTTCTCTTACTGATTTTAATAAAATTGATCCACCTGCTTTTATTGCCTCGATAACGAATCCATCCTCACCAGGCGATCGATGGTTCTTCATTTCCTTTAAAGCTACTCTTACTTCTGACACAGTAATGGGTAAAAGTATTTCCGATCCCTGATTTATGAGAGTCTTTACTAGTGTCGGGAAATTGTCTTGTGGTCTTTGGCTGGTATAGAGGTCTTTATAAAATTCTCTAGTTATTTTCAGAATGTTTTGTTTATCTGTTGTTGCCTTTCCGTCTTTATCTCTCAGCTTATATATTTCTTTTTTACTATGCGTAAGTTTTCTTTTCATTATCTTTAAACCTTTGTTCTCTTCTACTGTTTGAGTAATTACATTAGTATTATATCTTCTTACATCTTTTCTAATTTCCGCTGAAATTCTTTTATTTAGTTTTTTATATTCGTCTTTGTTTCCCTTTTCGTTCTCGCTTAGGTTTCGTCGTATTTCCATGAGAGCCCTTGTATCTTTGCTAATCTTTTCACTTTTGGTGTCATTAAAAAAAAAAAAAATTTTTTTTAAAGAACAATACTACTGTAATAATCTACACCCAAAATAGTCTTCTTAAATACATTTTCCGTGACATCTGATCGTTTGTAATATAAAACATTAAATTATGCGTTTATTATTTGAATTTAAAATGACTAATATAGTTACTACAACTCAAAATTGAAATGTCATAGGATCCCAAAAATTACCCCATTATCACCTAGTGCAAAATTCATCCGCTTGAAACCAAAAAAATAAACCACTAGGAATTAATTCCCAATTTGTTGCTAAAGTTTTACGCAAAGAAACAATTTATTACTGCAAACTTTTTTCCGAAAATCACTGCTTATGCTGACTTACGGTAAAGCTAGCGCCGTCATAGCTATATCTCAGCAATAAAAAAGGTTACAGATCCCATCTTGACGGCATATTTTATTGCTAATTAATTGCTGTTGATTTGTATATTAAACAATCCCCAAAAACTACCCCATCATCTCCTAGTGCAAAACTCATCCTTGGAAAAATTGAGATATCAACCAAAAATGATGAAACTAGAAAAGTAAACCACAAGGAAACCACATTAATTGCTAATTTACTGTTGAAGTTTTACGTCAAAAAAAGTATATCGCTGTTACCGTTTTCGAAAAATAATGGCTATGCTAACCTTATGGCAGAGCTAGCATAGGCATATCTATATCTCGGCAACGAACAAGCATACAGGTTTTTAAAAAAGCTAGTTATTCTCTATCATCATCAGTTGGCGCTACAACCCTTCGTAAGTTTTGGCCTACCTCAAAACATTCTTCCATCCTTCCCTATCGAGCGCCCGTCTTCTTCATCCCCTTACTCCAATCTTCCTTAAATCGTTTTGCACATCATCCAGATACCTAAGTTTAGATCGCCTACTTCTTATTTTTTCCACCGGCCTATTTAACATGGTTATTTAAGAAGAATCTTATATCCATCTGCATCACGTGGCCTACCCATCTGAGGCGGTTTATTTTATCGATTTTTACGATATCTGCATCACCAAAAAGTCTATAGAGTTCGAAATTATATCGCCTTCTCCACTGGCTCTGTTAGTTAACTCCGCCATATGTGGTTCTTAATACTTTTCTTTCAAATATTCGTAACAACTCATCTTGGGTAGTGTTTGGGAAATTATGTGCGAATTCATTTCATATTTTTACAGTTAATATTTTTTCTGTTACGGTACTGTAATGTGATCTAATTTGGTGCTGTATTTTAAAGACCTTTTTGAAATATATTGTTTCATGTTGTCTTTCGTAAAACTTAAACTGGCTATGTCATTTGTCATGTTGAAGTACACAGAATTTGGCTTTTTCCTTTGTATTCAAGATAAAGATTCAAATACAAAGATCGAAACAAGCGGTTGATTTAGGGCATGCCCGGCCTACGAGATGTTGACCATCCAACCAGAGGGTGGTTTGTGCCCGAAACGCTCTCAAACCCTCAAGATTCACACTTCTTCGTATTCGTAACACAGTGAACGAAACGCACCACACTTGACCGGTCTCGTGTTAATTAGAGTCGGCGTCCCAGGCCGCGGCATCGTGATGCCCGGCGACCAACTCTTCAGCCTGTTACGAGTACCTCAATAGAACCAAAGGGTAAGTCCATAGTTCTCTGTACAAAACATTGATAATGAGTAAACCAGTTGATTTCATAACTTATTCATAATTTATAGTTGCTATTTTCGCTAATTTTTATGTATAAACAAATATTGCATTTTTCGTTATAATTATTTATCTGATATAACTTAACCAGCGACCTCTCAAGTTTAATCCTAAACAGGTAGTCATTGTTTATGTCTTAGATCTATACTATATGTTACATATATAGTATATGTATAGTGTATACAAACTCAATTACTATAAATACGTCTTACCTCTGCCGAGGTAAGTATTGAAAACAAAGTATTGAAAATGCTGTGCGAAACAAACAGTCAATTTCTAGACTCACTCGTCAGACTCTTTAACAATATTTATAACAGTGGGGAGTTTCCTGAAGACTGGCTAGAGTCAACTTTTATTGCCATACCGAAAAAATCAAAAGCAAAGTCTTGTTATCAACATCGGATGATAAGTCTAATTAACCACATTTCGAAGGCATACACCAAGGTTATTTACAACAGAATAAGCAAAAATGCAAGGATAACATTGGAGATTCGCAGTTTGGGTTTCGGAATTCTCTTGGGACAAAAAAGCACTTTTTAGTCTACAGGTACTCATCCAGCGCTGCAAAGATATGAACAAAGACGTGTACATATACTTTATAGACTATGCAAAAGCATTCGATAACGTAAAGCACGAAAAGATAATTGAAGTACTCCATAATATTGGAGTCGACTACAGAGACATTCGAACAATAGCGAGTCTCTATTGGGGTCAAACAGCTAAAGTGAAAGTAGGATCTACATTAACCAATAAAATTAAGATCAAGAAAGGGGTACGACAGGGCTGTATCTTGTCTCCAATTCTCTTTAATATATACTCAGAAGAAGTATTTAAGACAGCGCTGGAGGAAAGCACAGAAGGCATAAAGATAAACGGAGAAATATTAAATAACATAAGGTATGCTGATGACACTGTGATTCTAGCAAGTAGCATGGAGGAACTGAGTTGCCTAATGAGTAAGATACAAAAAACAAGTGCGCAATACGGACTCAGACTAAATATCACAAAAACCAAATGGATGTTAGTAAGCAAAACCCAACAACCACCACAGCAACTGATATTAGACAATGAAAGAATTGAACACGTGGATTCGTACATCTATTTGGGAACAACAGTTAACTTAAATTGGGATCAAGCGAAGGAAATACGTATAAGAGGAAAGCGAAGGAAATAAGTTCACTAGCATGAAGAAAATTTTCACATCTAAAAGCCTCACCCTACCTCTCAAAATTTGACTTCTAAAATGTTATGTATTCCCGGTTTTGTTATATGGAATGGAGGCGTGGAGAATGACTGCAACATTGATGAAAAAAGTAGAGGCCTTCGAAATGTGGGCTTACCGACGTATATTACGTATATCCTGGACTGGGCACGTGACCAACGAAGAGGTACTACGTCGGATAGGTAAAGAGAGAGAGGTAGAAATAAGTATAAAGAAAAGAAAGTTGGAATACTTGAGTCACGTTATGAGACATAATAATAAATAAGCTGAGACATATAGAGTACTACAGCTGATCGTTCAAGGGAAAATAGACAGCAGAAGGGGTCCAGGGAGGAGAAGACACTCGTGGCTCCAAAACTTGCGGCAATGGTTCGGATTGTCATCTGCTGAACTATTCAGATCTGCCGTAAACAAAATCAGAATAGCCATGTTGATTGCCAACGTTCAGAACGGACAAGGCACATGAAGAAGATACCTCTGCCGAAGTTGAGACGCTACTGGTTATTAGATGCTTATGATCAATTTTATGGTTTTTAGGAAAAATTATGTATTTAGTAATTAAAACAAGAAAAATAAATGAAAAATGGCACTTAACTGGAAAACAAACATATTGGCCTACTGATAAAAATAAAACATTCGACTTAATCCAAGTTTGGTATTGTTAATTGTTTATTGAAAACCAGTAAAAACAGGCCACATAATTATTGTAATCAGATAGATCAAACTAAAATGCGATACAAGGGAGATGAGTACAGAGAAGTCTTAAAAAAGAATTTGTAGAACATTATTAACAAGAATATGCCGACATTAACACAGTTAATAAAGAAATGCAACGAAAGCTCTTGAAAGCAGGACTGACTGTTGCAAAGAAAACAAAAAAAAAATAAAAGACTGAATAAGTGAAGGAACAAAACGGTTGATATAAAAGAGACACACATTTCTAAGCAAAGAAGAGCGAAACACCAATGATTTCAAAGAATGAATAAACAAATAAAGAAAGGAGTGAAGGAAGATTTAAGAATCTATCATGGAAACAAGGTATAAAAAATAATAGAAAAGAACCGAGGCCTGAAAAGCTTAAGATCAAACTTAGGAAAGCCTATAATATTATCATTGAAGGATAAAGACGGAAAAGAAATAGGATAAAAGAACGAAATCCTAAAAGTTACTCAAACATTTTACCGTGATTTATATTCCTCAAACAAGAACCCAGATAACACTGTAAAGGAAGATCTTAAGAGAAAGATAACGAATGTCAACTCAGAAATACTTCCTAACATAGAATCCTTTGAAATAAAACAAGCTATAGCACAACTAAAGAACAATAAGGCTCCGTGACCAAAGTCAATACTTGTAGAAATGTTGAAGGAGGGGAGTGAAATTATTCTCGAAGAATTGAAACATTTTTTCAACGAATATCTTCACATATGATAAGGTCCAGATGATTGGAATGAAAGTTTGACAATACTTCTATTCAAAAAGAGAGACAGGGGAGATCTGAAGAACTGAAGACCAATCTCCCTACTGTCCCAAATGTATAAACTGTTTATGAGAGTAATAACTAACAGGTTAACGTCGAAGCTCGATAGCTATCGACCGGTAGAGCAGGCAGGATTACGAAAGGGTTACAGTACAGCGGATCATCTTCTTACAGTCAGTCTCTACAAATAGATGCGAAAACCAAAGCTATACCAATCAACAGAGGAGTTCGCCAGGGAGATGTTATCCCACCAAAGCGATTCCCACTTGGACTGGAAGACGTGTTCAAAGACATTAACTGAGCAGATAAAGGAATAAATGTTAATGGAGAAAAACTGAGTCATTTAAGATACGCTAATGACGTAATATTCACTACAAGTTTCACTACGGACAATGATGACGCAACCATAAAAAGTTGGTCTTAAGATGAACTTGGAAAACACAAAAATAATGACAAATACACCGAACATTAGAAAAATAACGTTGAACAACATAAATTTAGAAAAAGTAAGCGAATACATCTACCTGGGACAGATAATGAAAGTTAACAAAGAAAATCAAACTGCCGAAATTACCAGAAGAATAAGATTATCGTGGGCAGGATTTGGAAAACTGAGTTGTATCTTAAAAAGCACTAAAATAGAACAATATTTGAAAACCAGAATTTACGATCAGAGTATCCTCCCTATACTCACGTATGGCTCACAGACGTGGACACTCACCAAGTCTACTATGGATAAAATAGTGAAAGCATAAAGAGCGATGGAAAGATCAATGCTCGGGGTGACACTTATAGACAAAAAAAAAACAAACAAACGGATTAGAAGCAAAACAAAAGTAAAAGACGCAGGAGAACATGCTGGCAAATTAAAATGGAGGTTCGCAGGAAACAATGCCCGACTGAAGGATATGAGATGGAACCACGAAATACAACAATGGAGACCATGGTTAGGAAAGAGAAGCAGAAGATGACCACAAATAAGATGGGCGGATGATATTAAAAAGATCGAAGGACACAACTAAAAGCAAGTGGCGCAAAATAGAAGATACTGGATTAATTTGGGTGGGGGGCTCATGTCCAAAGTTGGATTATTTAAGGCTGAAGAAGATAAAGAAGACTATTAGTCACAGTTATGTTAGTATTTTATGCTACGTTGTACATGTAGACATACATTCCATTTTATTATTAGCCATTGATAAAGAATGAATTATGATATTGCTTATATAATACTATTATTACTAATTATACACCTCTTATTATAATTGTATTCATTACCTGACTGGTACCAATTCCCAAAGCCATGTTTCTGGAAAGTACCACCTAATTGAAATAACTTGATCTTCATTTTCACTCTCATACTGCTGGGTCAGGAACTGAACTAAAAATTTTAATGCAATAATCTAATGCAATGTGTGTAATATGTCACATACCTCTATTTGTATTCGTTAGTAAAGGCCCTGAAAAGAATGGAAGTTTATGAATTATCTCAGAATCAGGAAAAACATAAACAAATTTATATCAAAATCTGTAGAGTTTTCTAACGGTTTGTTCTATAGATTTAAAAATAATAGTTGAAAGCGTTATAAAAGACGATGCCTGAAGTAACCTTTAAGTCCACAAGTAAAATAAATTCCTGCAGCTGGCTGTATACCATGTATTACAAAAAGAGGTTAAAATTTTTGTAAGTAGGTATATTTAAAAAACCCTTAAAAGGGCTACATCAAAATAACAAACGTTTTCGGAATAATAATTCCATCATCAGGTTAAAAGCAGGTTAACATGACTGAGCCACCAAAATATTAGGGTAAAAACGCTTTACAGTAAATAAAGTTACCAAAGATTGTATATATTGTTGTTAAAAATTAATGATGTTTAATATTTTATTAGATTTTACTTCAAAATACAACCATGCCTTACGTAAGTACCAGCATCCGGAGGGTAGACCTCTTCAAACGGACTTCGGTTACCAACTTCAAATCCTCGGCTTTCGGAAAAATTTATTATATCTCCGTTAATTTTTTGGCTGTGATTAAAACATTAGTGACTATTAAAATTTCATTTTAAATTAATATTATTCAATTATCTTTCTTTTACATATAATATATTTTTTTATACCCTTTAAATATATTTTTTCAATATTCCACGAATTTATTAGTAAAAAGGGGATTATATTATATGGAAAAAACCAGTTCGTTCTTAATGGAGAGGCGGAGTGGAGGAGATTACTACAGTAATGATCCAACCAGATCCATACTCTGTGTGTGTTTGTGTGTGTGTCTGTGTGTATGTGTGTGTGTCTGTGTGTGTATGTGTGTGTGTGTGTTTATGTGTATATGTGTGCGCTAAAATCGCTAAATTCTGTCATATGACATATCAGGGTGTCCTTTCTGTTAATTCTTTAAGTCACTATAAGCTTAAGGTCTTTTTGACCATTTATACTCTGACTCAAATCCTTTATTATTTACTTCTTAAGCTATCCTCTTCCCAACTACCCCTCATACATCACGATCCAACCAGCTTTTTCGAACAGAACGATGTCAGAGTGAAAGTGAAGGGGAGTAGTCCAACCGCCCCAACCTCTATTACTCAGACTCATAATAACCCATATTGGAAACGAATACGGTTTTATCAATAGTGGATTATTAAGTTTTGCCTCAAAATCAACCAAAGATTACCACCAGGAAATGACTGCTGACGTTTTTTAAAGAATATTTTGAGCAAATGTTGGATTTAATTCCAAAAAATTGTTTCATAGTCATGGATAATGCTAGTTACCACTCAAGACTAGCAGAAAAATTGCCAGCAACGGCATGAAAAAAAGGAGAGATAATCGAATGGTTGGATAAACACGCAATTGAGTGCAAGGAGAATTTGCCAAAAAAGGAATTATTACCTATTGTAAGTTAACATAAAGCAGCTTATAAAAAATACATAATTGATGAAATGGCATTAAACCGTGATGTAATTATTTTACGTTTACCCCCATATCACTGTGATCTGAATCCGATAGAAAATATATGAAGTAAAGGGTGAAGTTGGACGAAACAACAAAACTTTTAAATTTGAAGACTTACAACAATTATTAGAACATTCCTTATCAAAAGTAACTCCAGAAAATTGGAAAAATGCTGTTAGTCATGCTAACAAGGAAGAAAATAAAATGTGGAATTTGCATAATATGACTGATGCAATGCTGGAACCGGTAATAATTAACATTGGAGTTGAAGATTCCTTAGATTCTGAAGAAAGCAGTGCATCTGAAATGAAATTTGATTAAAATAATATTCATTTTTTTATAAATCGGCCCCTATTACGGCCACAAATTATTTTATATATAACCAATAAAATAAACATCTTACATTTCTTGCAAATTCATTAGTACCTGTTAATCTCCATCACTCCGACACTGGCAACTTTTTAGGTATTAGTAACTCTCAAAACTATTGTATTCTATTCTGCTTCAACCTTTATACCTGGTGGTCATTCTCAATTTAAAATTGTTTTCCTATATACTTCTGTAAACTTGTTGACAAATATCTATTTTTCATTCAGTCACCCGTATCAACAGTTAAGGGATTTGCATACATAATGTGCTATCAATATGATGGAAATGGACTATAGAGGTTACTTCAGGCCTTGCCCTTCATAACGCTGTGCTGATTTCAAAAATTTACTAATTAATGCAATTTCTCTATAGCTTGGGCTAATAGTTTTGTCTATGAATACTATATAATCACTCATATATCTACTGCCAATAACATATTTACCTTGGTAACAAGATTTGGTAACGATCTTTAAGTTGGTGATAACAACACTTCCGAAATTCTAAAATAAATCCTAAATTTCAAAATATTGCTGATTATTATTTTGATAGAAATCTTACGTTAAAAATATCGAATGAATCATAATCTTCGGAAAATTGATATACATGGCGCTTTTCTCGTTTTGAAGAATTCCATGTTTTCTGAGAATCTGAAAAATTTAATACACACAATTATTATTCATTACATTGATGACATTAGCTAATCAACCAAAAATAAACAAGACATCTAAAAGTTATGGCATTTAAAGGAAATATACCAGAAGAAAAATAACTTCTTTACTCATTGTTAAATGTCAAATTGAATACAATTTTGAATGCTCGTTTATTTACCTCACAAATTAAATTTACATGATTTTGAATATTGTTTTGATTACTTGAAATAACTTTAAGGTAGGGTCGTCTATATTGGACCGGCTCCTAAATTGTACCTTTGCAGATTTGAGCGAACCGACAAGTGGTGCTATCCGTTAATACCAACTAGAACTACATCCCGAAACCTGTTAGAGTTACAACACGTGTGCAGCTGTAAACAACGGTTAAGAAAATATTAGTGTTTTCGTGATTATTTAACTTCCGATACAAAGATACTACTACTTACCGTTCAAGTAAGTAATCACAACATTTATAATATTTTTATATCTCAAAATTTATTAAAGAGGACATAGTTTAGGAATTATTTTCGTGACCTAACCTCCAAATTGGAAAACCCCGTCGTTGGTGAAATTTGATATTGTTTAGCTTTATAACAAGGTTTTCTAAATTGGACCAGTAATTGCTTGCAAATTGGACTGGTCCAATTTAGGCAACCATATTGTAAATTAAACCAGTCCCATTTAGTTCTTGATAGATTTATTTTTTATTTCAAAATGTCATCACGTGGTAAATACAAAAAACGAAGCAAAGACAGATTTAACTAGTGCTATTTTCGCTTCTCATAATGGTTCTTATGGGCTTAATGAATGTGCAAGATTGTTTATAGTACCTAAAGCCACACTAAAAAGACATCTAGAAGGGAACAACAAACGAACAAATAATGCAATTAAACAAATAAGTAGGTTTACTGTATTTAATTAAGAAGTTGAAGCAGAATTGGCTCAGCATATTTTGATTTTCGAAGAGTAAATATTTGGATGAGCATACGAGTCGTCCGTAAACTAGCATTTGAATTAGCAACAAGAAATTATTTGAAACACAATTTTAACAAAGATAAACGTATGGCAGGCAAAACGTGGTATTATGGCTTCATGTCAAAACATAAACAAATATCGTTTCAGCAGCCGAAGAAAACGTCAATGCAAGGGCTGCAGGATTTAGCAAAGCATGTTTATGAACTTTTCAAGAAATGGGAGAATCATTCTCTCTCCTGCTGTCACCCAATATGTAGTCATTACATTTGTAATGACTTTTAAACTGTTTGTCCTTTGTCTCGTGTTGTGTAAATGTATTAGTTAATGTTTACAACATTCACCAAATTGTTGGATAGCCCTATTTTGACGAAATGCCCCTGAACATGCTCTGAGAGTGAAAGTACTTGGGCAAGTTTTAATAAAAAACTGTGCTCGATATCTGCCTTTTATTTGATTAAAGTTCATTTATTCGAGCATTCAACTATATATCATTTTAAAGTAAAATAAGTTGAAACTACTTTAAAATTTTCAAACATTGGTTGGGAAAAAACGCTAACAAAATTAGGTGTAGCTAACTGACAGCTGGTATTGTGAAATATGCGAGTCTGAATCAGTCGAAGAAATGATCCAATATCTTAAATGTAAAATTTGGTTTAATGCAAAATGTGTCAATGTATCGCTAAAAACTAAGATATTTTACTGTTCAAATTGTAAAACTTGAGGTTGAGATTCATAATATTACATGACATGATTTTTTACATTTAGGTTAAGTTTATGAGTTACAAAACGTTGAATATTAGTTTATGTTAAATCTGTTAATATATATTTTTTAAGACGTTCCTCATGTTTAAATGCAGGTTTTAACATCGGTCCAAATTTAGGGCGCAAAATTGGACTTTTTTTATATTTTTCTCATTTGAAAAATAAAATATAAACTACTATGTATCTATTATTTTTCATTTTTTAAAATGTAAACAGTATTTAGTAAGAGATTTTTATGACAAAATTTAGAAATATTTATTGAGATGTGTAATACAACAGATATTCGAAAAGTGGTCCAAGTTAGGAAACCTTACCCTATAGTTTATAATATAACGATTTCTTAATATTGGATGGATGATTTTAACGTCATATATCTCATCCAGTCTATAAATATTTACACAGCCCTTTAAATTCATACTACATTAAATGAAACAAAAAAAAAATTGGGGTAGAACCTTCAACTAACTATGGGTGTTAAAGTAGAGTTGCGACAAACAAACCAAGCATTACATCAAGGGAATTTTGTAAAGTAACAAAATAAACAGCCATTGTATAACCAGTGGCAAAAACCAAGAATAAAAAACAACTATTAAAGAGTAAGATAAGTTGTATACAGAGTCTCCTTAAGTATGCTTCATTTACAATTATAAGAACTGACTTATGCAGAATTAAAAAGTATCCCGCTGATAACATCGAAGCGGTAAAGAGATTTGCCTCTTCAGGTAAATAGTAAAAAGGCCCGGCTTAACTAAATTTATATTTTATTTGGTATTTACATTACATATTTAATTAAAATAAATATCTAGATAATAAATGGAAAAAATACATATTTAATTAAAATAAATATCTAGATAATAAATGGAAAAAATACATAAACTGATGGAGTATTAGAATTAATTAATTATTATATTTTTCTGTGTTGATTTTTTATTAAATATATCTAAATTTTGAAAGTAATAAACAATTTTTGTTATGTTAAACTAATTGCAAGTGAAATAATAAAATTGTGAAGTGAAAATTAAAATAAATTAATTTAGGTATATACATATAGTTGAATATGAATATATTTTATATTTCATATAAGGGAAAGTTTTTCAATTGTTAGTAAGGTATAAAGTATGTTTGAAAACGTTGGCAACAAATGGAAAATTTCTATATGATTAATTTCAATTAAAAAAACTATTCTTCATAAAAATTTCTGCGTTGCATAGAAATCAATAATCAATAATCAAATTTATAAAATTTTAAGTGGTATACAGCCAAAATCAAAAATATTAATTTATGCTTAAAAGTGGTGCTTTTAAATTTAGGTACAGAACAAAATGTCATTTCAATTTAGTTGTAGGAATTAAAAATTATATTTAAATTTAGATTCATGGCCTTTTAATGATGTGTCAGTAGGTGCCTTATTCAATATACAAAATGAACAAATGCAAAAGTATTTTTTTTATTTACTTTTAACTTTAAATGAATTATTTAATTATTAGAAGGTCATGAATCTAAACTTGGACATAATTTCTAATACCTACAAACATTTTAAAAGTACATTTTCTTGCAAATTTAAATTTAAAATCACTTGCCTCTTCAGTATTAATTAATAATTTTGATTTTCCCCATCTAAGATTTAATATTTAAGATTATTGATTAATGATTTCTGTGTAATGCATAACCTTTAATAAAGAATAATTTTTTTTATGAAATTGTTAATAAAGAAATTTTCCATTTTGCCAACTTTTTCAGACATGAAACGGAAGAACTTATACATAACAAGTCAACATGATTAAATATGAACCTTTTAAAATGAGTAAATGGGTACTCATCGAAGGGACCGCAGACGTTCGGATACAATTAGCGTCTCTTTGTAAAGACAATAAAGTTGACTTTACTAAATTAACAAAGCATTTACTCAACACAGTCACTACACATTATTCCCCTGAGTTATTGATAAGTTATAGTCTAAAAAAATCATTATGAAATTGACTGGCCAGTTGTTTCTGAAAACTTGTGCCAATAAAACATAAAACACATACAAAACGAGTATAAATATTACATCACATAGATATTATGTCAAATCTGTGTCACTATGGCTGTCGTCTCTTAAATTGATGATAATATTTGGTATATTAGTACTGATCAGTACTAATCGAGTAACGACGAGAAGTAGATCCACCAGGCTTGAGAGTGGCAAGTGAGACCTTGCCGAAACGTCGCCAAAACAATGGTTTTCAAAAAAACCAGCATTTTAAAACGCGGAGTCAAACCCGGAAAAATAGTGACAGCACATATAGCTCCCGCGGAAACCTCAAAACAAACATATATATATATATATATATATATATATATATATATATATATATATATATATATATATATATATATATATATATATATATATATATAAAGGAAGAATGATCACAGCTGTCCAATTATTAATTAGTATAATGGTAAGGTTAATTGGGTTAGCAGCTGAATAAAGAAAGCCAAAGTGTGCTCTTTTCAACGACTTCGTTATATTTCGTTAAATTTCTTTAACATCTTCAGACGAATGCTACAATATATTACAAAATGGTGAAATTGTGTATTTTACATAAGATGTAGTGAAACACTTACTTGTGTGAGGTTGCAGGCAAAAGTGGTATTTGAAAGTTCCATGTTGAAAAACTTTTTTGAAGATTTTTTATAGCAAAAAAAAAGGAATAAGTTATATGTGTTATATGGTGGCTTGAAAACTCAAACAATACAAGTGCATTTTTGTTATTTTCCTCCAGTGTGCTAGTACAATACAAATATTAAAAAACATTGAACATTTAAGAAACAAAACAGTTAAAACACAACTACATATCACATTGTCATTTTTTGGACCAGGTCGAGTCAACCTATGCACAAAAGGAGGTGGAAATCTAGTATGTACCTCAAGGTTAATGTGTCTTGTCAGCTATCATATTAGTAGATGTCAGCCAGAAAACTAAAGCTGTGTTCAGTTTATGTGTAAAGTTACATTTAATTGAAAATTATGTTATGTTAATTTAAGACAATTAAATTCTGTTATTAATAAATACATATAGAATTTATTTATTTCTTTGTGATTATTCCTTTTAAAGTTATTTTAATTATTGTTATTACTCTTAAGAATTTTATTTCTTGGAAAAATGTAACAATTGCAGTAATAATGATTAAGTTTCTACTTCAATTGGATGGTCAGAAGAGTTTTATAGACAATATTATACTATTCAGAATATTACAGTTCGTTGACTTCGTTG